TGAACCAGTACCAGGCTGTTTTGATTACTCTGTCTGTATAGTAAATTTTGAGATAGGGAAGTGTGAGGCCTCCTGCTTTGTTTTTACAATATTGCTTTAGCTATTCGAGGCCTCCTCCTTTTCCATTCAAAGTCGAAGATTAGTTTTTCCAATTCATTAGAGAATGTTGTTGGGATTTGGATTGAGATTTCATTATATCTAGATTTTTTGGTAGTATTGACATTTTTGCAATGTTAAGTCTTTCAGTCCATGAGCATGGAATGGTTTTCCATTTTCAGCTGCTTTAAAAAGACAAAAATATTCTCATATACTCATCATTAAACTACTGGAGTTTTTGCTGGTTTTGTACCCTACTAAAATGGATAGACTGTTGAACATTCCACATTTAAAAGTTTTGTAGGGGAGTGGGGGGATCTTTCAGTGTTTATTTTAAAATAAACTTCTTGACTTTTCTCGTGTGGTTGTGGTACATCATACTGGAAAGGTTATCTGTTTACTTTTGTAAATGAGTATTTTTGCTAGCACCTCTGCTTTAGTGCTTTAAGTGCCATCTGCCTGGGATGTACCACAACCATATGTTAGCTATATTTTGGGGGGCTGGGTAAAATATTTGTGGTTTATTAGGTGATCTCTAGATGATGTTATGCTTGCAATCCTATACAAAACTAAATTTGCTATCTGTAGAAAATAATTTCATTATATTTAACATGACAAAGTTGAAGTAAATAAGTTCTTCATGTAGTGATGGTCTCTATGAATCAGTTCTGAGATGAGATTGAAAGAAATTCCTTCTAGATTTCCAACTTCTGTGCATTAGTGAAGATGTAAATGTGTAAAAGTTTAGTAGTTAATTGATTATTTCTATGTGAATTTTTAAAAGAAGTGTTCGTTTTGAAATATTATACTTTTTTTTGCTTCTGTTATCACAGTCTAAATGTAAAGCTTTTATGTCTCCATTCAGACTATTTTTTAAAGAAGTGCCTCATGACGGAGCAGAAAACTTTATTTCATCAAAATCTGAGTCTTGGTATTAAGTGTCCTTTATAGTATGTGAATGCTCATCCTAGCTTCAGAGAGCCTTTGTTTGATCAATTGCCTATTTTAGCAGAATTGCAAGGAATTAATTGTTGCACGTCACTGTAGCTTCTTGTTGTAGCAAGACTCCCCATACAAAATACTTTTATAAATGCACAGTATCAGTCATCTCCCATGGGTAATGAAATTTCTTTTTTAAATTTAGGGTAGGATGTCATTGATTATATTGGTTAGGGCAGTTTTATTTCTAGATCCTAATATTCCTAAAAATATAAAAGTTTTTTTTTCTTCCATTTGATATTAAACCAAATACCCTTAAAATGTATCGATTAGTGTCTATAGTTCATCTCCTTATACATGCAACTGTGTTGCATGGGTGACTTTTCCCAGTAATAGGAGACAAGAGAATGTGTGCTGCTTCTCAGAAGACTCATTAACTGAGATGCTCAGTTGACAACCAATTCATAAAATGTAGAAGGTAGTTGAGCAGTTGGCCTCCTAAGTGTCTTAACATTTTTTGGATTGTTTTATTTTTTCAAGAATATATTAGTCTAACTAGGGAAAATGGGATGCAGGTAAGCACTAAGCTCAAACTTTTTTACTTCATCTTTAAGCTGATCCACATGCCACATGAGTTCTTATTAAGCACTTTGTTTTAATAGCTATGAATTATATTTTAAAGAATCAGTATTGTCCTTGAGCTTTTCCCTTCTATAGAATTAATGGAAAAGGAAAGAAAGCTCAGGAAAATGCTTGTAAGTTGTTAAGGCTCGTCTCTGTATCTTTTCTAATTTTGAATTCTGTAGAAGTATTGGAAAAACTAGTCAATGTTTTAAATCACATTAGATTAATCCCCCCGCCCCCCCAAAAAAAGCCAACCCTGTTGCCATGAATTCCAACTCATAGCGACCCTATAGGACAGAGTAGAACTGCCCCATAGGGTTTGCAAGGAGCAGCTGGTAGACTTGAAGTGCTGACCTTTTGATTAGCAGCTGAACTCTTAACCACCGCCACCAGGGCTCCCACGTTAGATTAGTCATGTTAAAATCTGATTTTTTATTGTCCTTGAGAGAAAGCTGTTTCAGTTGTGTACACCAACCAGCAAATGTCTTAAGTAAAGAAGTAATGTTACTTGTGACAGAGAAGAAAAGGATTAAAGAAATCTTCTGTTCGGTAGACTAAGCTCTTGAGAAGGTTAGGCTACTACTACATTCTCTCAATCAGGATTTTATTATCTCCTTAAACTGTTCTGAAGTGTAATACAGTTCTATGCAGCAGCCTGGCTTTTTGAGTGTAGGCTGTGAAAGATCAGGGGTTTGTCTCTGATACAGTAAAGTTTTTAGTGTATTCTTTTTTTGTAAGTACTAGTTTTCTTTCTAGTGTTTATATTATGGAGATTTTTGTAATGAAACACTAAGATTCCAGCAGTTTTGGTTATCTATTTGCCAGTCATGCCAAGTGCTAGGCATTGAGTGGAGACAAAATCCCTGTCTGATGACACAAAAGCAAAATAGTTGATGATAGGTATTAAGGCCACGATTGATACAATGCAACCTAGTTAAAATGATCAGGAAAGACTTGGTTGAAAGGGATAATTGAGCTAAGACTTGAAGGAGAGGTATAGTAAACTTGGCAGGGAGGGGAAGAGAAGAACGTTTCCAAAGGTCCTATCTCCAGTGACTGGGAAGTCTTCTTGGCACAAGTGGAAAGAAAGTAAAGATTATGAAGAGGCTGGAGAAACAGGTAAGGGCTGCAGTCAGGGCCTTATGTTTACATTCCATGTTAAGTTTTGTCGCTTAACAATTGGAAACCATTGAAGGTTTTTAAGCTGTGGAGGGTGGGAGGCTGGTGGATTACCTAATAAAATTGCCATTAAAAAACATGGTGTAGTGTTGAGAACAGAATGTATGGGTAGGAGTTTTAGGGAGGCTATTGCAGTGTAGTCTATGTGAGATGATTATAACACAAACTGGGGTTGGGTGGGGTGAATGAATTCTATAAATTTCATCAAAACTGGGTACTGCTCATTATCCTTTGTGAATTCTTCACGTGTCAGTTGTCAGACTTTGACTTCCCTAGGTGATCTGGCCCAATCCCATGGCTTGGAATTCATCCGCATTTTAGTCATTGCTGAATATTTCTAGGCCGTAAACTCTTCCAGACTCAGTCAACATCTTGATCGCAATGCCTTGAGGATTTCAAATCAAAACTGACTTTCTCTCATACCCTGTATCTAGTCCTCCCATCAAGAGCACATGGTTCTACCTTTAAAGTATATCGGGAGTCATGTAGCACTTGTGACTGCCAGCCAGCATGACAATCCTAGAAGAGGTAACTGCAATAACTTAAAATGGTTCTGGTTCTCCCTGCTCCTGCTTCTACCGTTCTATAGTGTAATTTTTGCACCACAGCCAGAGTGGGCTTTTTAAGAGAGATTTTGTCACTCCTGCTTCCCAAACGCCAGTGGTTTTCCATCACATCTAGAATTAAGTTCTGAATCTACGTTCCAGAAAGCCTTATATTTTATATTATGTGGCCCAGTTTCCTGCCGTTTTCCCTCTTGCTCACCGTGCTCTGGCCAGACTTGTTGCTTTGTCAAGATTTTTCCCATGTCGGCCTTTGCACATGCGTGTTAAGCCTGGAAGGCTTTTCACTCAAATATTCTTGAGGCTCATGCTTTAGTCATTCATGTCTTTGTTCCAGTGTCACCATCTTGGGGGCCTTCCTTGCCCCTCAAATTTCAGTCACATTTTACTTGATACTTTCTTAACATTTAAAAGTAGAATCATGTAAGCAATGGGAGGGGGGAGACAAGGATATTTTATTAACAGTAGCGTCGGCATATCAACATTCAATGGATTAGAAAAAAGTTTGATGATGGAGTTGGACTAGAGGGATGGTGCTGGCAAATACATGAAGAGTTGGGGGGGCTGGTAATTTGGGGGAGGGGTTTCAAGGGATAAAGGGGAGTAAGAAGTTTCTTTGGACATCATGAGTTTGAAGCATCCAAGCAGTTGCATATGTGTATCTGAAGTTGACTGATCTGACCCAAAGAAAAAAATGTAAAACTACGAAGTAGGTGTAGGGGGCACTTTTAGTAAGTTCTTCCACGAGTTCGCCTGGGGAAAGTAATTGAACAGCAGAATACCCCCAGAGTTGGTTTTCAGAATTCCAGCATTTGATGGCCACTTTGAGGCCTAAAGAGATACTGCAAAGTATAGCTGCTGTAGCGGTGGGTGGAAGCCCTATGGAATTCTAGACGGGTCCACAAGGTGTCAATATTGCGGGGTAGGGGGGGATCAGTTGAATGAAATGGATCTGTTCATGGAGTTTCTGCATCTTAGCACATCACAGTGGGAAGTTAAATAAGGGGATCAGAAAAATGGTGGCATAGATCGCTGGAGCCAGTCGTCTCGCACAATCAGGCTAACACTGAAACCCTGGATCACTAAAACCGTGTGCTGCACCCAACCTTACCAGGGCACCCAAACTAGCCCTAGCACAATGGCAGGCGCTGGGATGCGGAAGATGTAAATAAATCACACATCTGTATTTTGCTTTTGGTAGCTAGAGTATAGGGCGCCATGGTGGTAGGGTGCTAAAAGCGCTTGGCCGCTAACAGGTTGGAGGTTTTTACACACCAGCGGCTCCGTGGGAGAAAGATGTGGCAATAATACACGAAAGAGGCAAGTTGCACCTGGCACCATAGCTATCGCGAGAAGAGGCCAAAGCTGGAAAGCCGAGTAATCTTACGTGGTATCTCCACCTCCCTGGTCTCTGACGTCATCATCAGGCGACAGGGTTCGAGGAAGGTCCCCTTCGTTCTCCGCGTGGTTAGTTCCCTCGCGCGCGTACTGCCTTCTAAAGCCTGAGCAGGATGCGCGTCCCTCTCGACATCTGAGAGCAGGCGGCAGGGCATCCGCTAGGGGCATCCTGCTGGGTCCTCCTCACTCCTGGGGCCGCTCTGCTCCCACGTGGTTCCGCTTCGCCCCTGGCTGGGATCGGCTGGCCTGCAGCCTCAGGTACCCCGTCACGGGAGGGTTGGGGAGGGGTGCCGAGGTCGGCGTCTGTGTCCTTACCCACTCTCGGGCGGGCTCATTGTGCGCTCTAGAGGGCAGCGCTGCTGGAATCCCAGCCTTCAGCTACCAATAGCTGGAGGAGCGAGGTGGGTGGGTGACAGCACTTTGCTCTCCGCGGAGATTTCCCAGTGTTCCTGGTTGCAGCACTGGGCTTTCCACTGAGGCTGTCTATCGATTCGCGCTCTTTACTATGCTATGCTTGTTCTTTATTCCATGTTTTCAATAGTCACATTCAAGACTTTGTTTTCTAGTACACCTAGAACGGTGCTTCTCATATATTTGCTAAATGATAGGTGAGTGAATGAGAAATAATATTTCCTCTACTTCAAGGCCTTCGTTATCCATTAAGCCTTCCATGGCAGCCCCATCCACACTAATCTCACCTTCATCAGACCACTGGCTGTAGTTATTATTTTTACATCAAATTTTGTGTGTCTTTAGTTGTCCCTCATCTCTTTCCCTTAAATACATTCTCCAAGGAGAATGAAAGCGTTTGAAGTCAAGGACCTTATTTGGTATTTCTGAGGCACAGTAACTAGAGCAAAAACAGCCCTTAGTAATTAGTTGTTGATTGAGTTGTGGAATCTTTATGTGGCCCACAACACAGGACCTCCAAGCTGGGCAAGTTGGTGAACAGGAAAGAGCTCAGGCTTTGAAGTCAGGCACACCTGAGTGTGATTCTGTCTCCATCCCTTGTCTGCCTTGGGGTACTTAAATTCTTTATACTTGCATCTTTCTTTATAAAACAGGGAGTGTTGATGGTGATATAGTGTTTTATAGTAAAGACAGAGCTGCTAAGATTTATACTTGGATTAGGAGGTTGATGGGGAGATTACAAGGGACACTTAAGTCATGGTTAAGGTTTAGGTTAAGTGCTCGACTGCTAACTGAAAAGTTGGCAGTTTGAACCCACCCAGCAGCTCACAGGAGAAGGACCTCTGCTGTCATAAAGATTACAGCATAGAAAACCCTATAGGGCAGTTCTACTCTGTCACATGGGGTTGCTGTGAGTTAGAATCGACTTGGCAGCGCCTAACAACAACGTTTAGAATGCAGCAGGAATTGTAGGTTTTAAGTAGTATATTATGTTTATCTTTATGTTGTAGTAATAGAATTGATTTCCTGATGTCTCTTTGGTGTACTTATTGTGGTAATGATGCAGGTTTTTTTTGGAGGGGGGTTATAATCACATAATTTTAGAGATCTCTCTGTCCAAGTCTTTACTGGGTTTTCCCTCTCTTGAAGAAACAATCAGACACATTTCATCTCGGAAATATTCTTTGCTTTTTTCTCCTAATTTTGTTAATAACATGAATTAAAAAACAAACCAAAAGAACAAATAAAAATCACTTGCAATCCCACCATCCAGAAGTAACTACATTTTGGTATTTTTATGCAGTCTTTTTTTCTCCGTATGTTGTGTATATATGTATAAAAAAAAGTGGTTACGATACTTTATCTTGCCATGTTATTTTTTCTTAAGCATCTATGTAATATCTGTAGATAGTTTTTGAAATAACTGTAACTGCCTATTATGTCTCATGGATGTACCATTATATATTTAAGTCATTCTCCTATTTTTTTTTTTTGATGTTTAAGTTTCTGATTTTTTTTATCTCCTCAATAGAGTTGTGAATTCCAGTTTCCCTGTTGACTTCTTAGGCTGAAGAAGCATTTTTTTCACCTCCCAAACCTGTTTCCTAATTTTAAACATGAGGCTGATTTCTTCCCTATGGCACTGTTTTGAGGGTTAAGTAAGGTGAAACTTATACACGTGCCTAGCACAGCCCCCGGCCCCACAGGAGGAAGCCAGTTAACGTTGTTCCTAATCCAGAATCTGGTGTTCACATTCAGTTGTGTTTCCTTTCTGTCTCTTTTAGTGATAGTCTTCCGCCATGCATCGGAAGAAGGTAGATAACAGAATCCGGATTCTCATTGAGAATGGGATAGCTGAGCGGCAGAGGTCTCTCTTTGTTGTAGTTGGGGATCGAGGAAAGGATCAGGTAAGACTTGACAAACACTTCTGTGTTACTTTGTGTCCCTCTGGGGTTTCAGCACATAATGACATTAAGGTCTCTTTAGCTGGTTTTCTTTAAGTAAAATGCCTATTGGGAACCTTCTTTTGTTTTTTGGAAATGATAAATACTCTCTCTTGGCCCTGAGATTCTGTAACTTCTTTTTTTGGCAGGTAGTGATACTCCATCACATGTTGTCCAAAGCAACTGTGAAGGCTCGCCCTTCAGTACTGTGGTGTTATAAGAAAGAGCTGGGGTTTAGCAGGTAAGCTTGGCCCTTTCTGTGTCCCACCCCACTTAAAATTCCTGACCGTTAGCTAAGTACCAGGAAGTGATTTCTTGACATAGTTTTTTAGGAATCATTAGTGGAGGTGCTATCTCTGAGGACACTTCCAAATGGAGAAAAAAATAGACATCCTTTCTTCATTCTTAGCAGTAAGTTTCAAATCATTTTCATGCTCTTTAGGTCCCCAACCCATTGCCTTGCTCTCTACACATGGTTTTGCTTTCTCCTTTTCTAAGCTGACCAAGCCCATCTTATGCAGGTTCCTTCAGTTGCCTTTTCCTACTCTGTTTTCATTCTTCCTTCCCATTTTTTTTCTGAGGAGGATTTACCTCATTCCATGTCCAAAACATACCCCTTTATCTTCTCTAGAGCTCTTCTCTCACCTCTCAGACTTTTATCTTCTTTCTTCTGCTGGCCACTCCATACAGCTTTTTAACTTTCTTCTTTTTCCTATAAGCATGCCTCAGCTTTTCCCATTCTCAAAATGGTCAGCTACATATCCAGCCTTATCCTCAGGCTAGTATTTTGTCTCATTTTTATTGCAGACACCTTAAAACAGAAGCCTTTTGCACTTCCTTGCCACTCCTGTTGCTGTCTGACTTCTGCATATCTGCTCTGTTCTTTCTCACTGCAGTCAGGCTTTCTGTTTTCTGTTGTCCCCATGGCAGAAACAGTACTTGAGTTTTACATGTGACAGGCCCCAACATCTGGAAATCAGGCTTCTTCCAGAATTCTCAGTGAAAGGGGCCCACCCATGGACCAGGGGAGGTGGGATCACATAGCAGAAGTCTGGCAGCTCTACCTACAACCCTGTATGATGAGTCTTGGGTGGGAGCAGGGAGAGTGCTAGTCCTTGACAGATAACCCATATGTGTCCACCTCAGAAACACTCTCTTTTCTTGACCTCTGTGACAGTCAGACCACCTTTCTGAGCTCTTCTCTTTCCCTTGGTCTTATCTCTGTCCCTAAACTAGCTAGTATGCATGATTCTGTCTGTGGCCCTCTTCGCCCTCCTTTATTCCCAAATGTGTGTCTATCTCCTGCTCTGATTGTTCTCCCAGCTACTATGACTACCTTTGTGACTAGTCAGTTGCCCACATTTAACACACCTTAAATATGCATTCCTCATTTCTTCTCCTTTTGACTTCTCTATTTCACGTCCTGGAATTGCTGTTAGGGCTTCAGACCCTGTGTTCTGGCTCAGCTCCGTGCCTTTTTTCTTGCTGTCTGCTCTGCTTGGAATGCCCCTTCCACCTCTATCTTCTCTACTGAAATCCTCCCCATTTTTCAGGGCCTGCCTTCTACAGGGAGCTTTTCCTAAGCCCTTCTGTCATACCTGATGGCTCCTGTACCCTCTTTAGCACTTATTCTGCTTGTATGGTGCTGGTCACACTCTGCCTCAGGATATAGTTGCTTCTGTACTGGGCTTTTATGTCCAGGTGGTACGCTCCATTAGTTAGGAGGCCTCTCCTGCTTGTCTTTATATTTTCATACTTTCGAATGCTCTAGCATGTTTGTAGTAGATGCTCAGTTAATATGTGTTGAGTGTATTGTTAACAGGCTCTAAAATTATTCTGATTTTAATTGGCACTAAGCGTTGAACTCTGTTAGTGCCTATCCTCGAGCCTTAAAGAAATTTGATTCTGCGTAAAATAAATGAGATTTTGAGCCCGGCTACCACTGCTGACTGCCCTGACTGGGATCGCAACAGAGGGTCCTGGACAGAGCTGGAGAAGGATGTAGAACAAAATTCTAACACACAAAAAAAGACCAGATTTACTGGCCTGATAGAGACTGGAGAAACCCCAAGAGTATGGCCTCCGGACACCCTTTTAGCCCAATGGTGAAGTCACTCCCGAGGTTCACCGTTCAGTCAGGGATTGGACAGTCCCATAAAACAAAACAGGACTAATGAGGCACAGTAGTCCAGGGACAAGGACTAGAAGGCAGGAGGGGGCAGGGAAGCTGGTGATAGGGAACCCAAGGTTGAGAAAGGACAGTGTTGACATGTCTTGGGGTTGTTAACCATTGTCATAGGGCAATATGTGTACTGACTGTTTAATGAGAAACTATTCTGTTCTGTAAACTTTCATCTAAAGTACAAAAAAAAAAAAAATTATCGATGTGAGATCAGATTGACAGCAGCAACTCAAAAGGTTTGATGGGAAGCCTAAGGGGCAGTGAGTTGGAGATGATGGTGATGTAATAATTTGGAAAAGGATAGTGAGAATAGCAGCACAACTGGAAGAATATAATCGATGTCACTGAATTGTACATGTAGAAATTTTTGAAATGGTGCGTATCTTTGGCTATGTGTATTTTCACCAAAAAAGAAAAAGGGTCCTCCAGGGTCAAGAAGGGAGAGTGTCGACATGTTGTGAGTTTGTTAACCAATGTCATAAAACAGTATGTGTTCTGACCATTTAATGAGAAACTATTTGTTCTGTAAACCTTCACCTAAAGTACAATAAAATAATTTTGTTTTAAATATAAGAGAAAAAAAAAAGATTTTGAGTAGTTTTGCCTTAAAAAAAGTATAAATATCATATTGTAGAAAACATGAAAAATACAGAAAAATCACAAAGATGAAAGTAAGATCACCCGTAATCCCAGCACCCAGAGATTGTTAGCGTTTAGGTGTATGTCACTGATATAGAGGTTTAAAACATAATTGGTATTATGTTGTATGTACTTTCTCAGAGTTGGGTAGGTAGGCGCCTTTAATGTAAATTTGAGAATAAGGGCTTTTGCTTGTTGGCAGAATTTAAAGTTCCTGAGGCTTCTGATTCTCACTACTGATCACTTGGTAAATGTGAGATGGTTATAGAAGCAGGCAGCTCACAGTTTTCTGGGCAGACTTGCCTTTCGAATTTAACCCACAGGTTTTACTTTGAAAAGTTTATTCTGTTGTAGCCTTCCCACCCCATCACTGTCAGGTCCTTGAGCTGGCAGTGTGTCGTGGTAAAGCTGATGCTCCCTTCTGAGTCATGGACTTAAGGCACAAGCCAGAAGGAATGGTGAAGATGAACTCACTGACTGCCTTGGTTCACAGATGAATAAGTGGAGGCCCAGAGTGCTTAGGACCTTGATTCTAGCTATTAAGTTAGAAAATTGTGGTTAAATTCTGATCAGCTATAATCCTTAATTCTGGAGCACTCTTATTCTCTCTTTCTGTAAGAGAAAAAGGTAAATAACAATTGGAGATTCAGGGTTTTTAAGACAGAAAAAAAAAAACCCTTCAGGGATTTCTGAGAGACTTAACCAATTCTACTGCAGCCCTTGCATCCTCTGTCAGTGTTGTCTTAGATTGGAGGATTTGCTTCCACAGTTTGAGTAACGAAGGAGATGAATGTATTCAGGAAAGATTTTCATCCATAAAGGACTCTATCATGACTGCTTTTCTCAAGCCCTCTGAGGAGCATCACGGTGTAGTGGAAACATCGCTTAAGAGTCAGGAAACGAGGCCACCTAGGTTTGGTTTCAAGCTCTGGCTCTGGCCAAATACTGTGCGGTTTAGATACTCCCATTACTCCTCTTTTAAAGTGAAGCATTTGCGCAAGGTCACGGAGTAAAACAGTAGGGTTTATACGCAGGCATGTCACTGCTCACTCCGAAGCCCATCTTTGTAGCCTTCTGCTGTAATGCCTCTCCAGCTTTCTTCAGCTTTAACATGAGGGAATTAGCTTCACAATTTCCAAGTTAGCTCTGAGGGTCTGATTGCATGATCGAATGAGGCTTTACCCTGTCTCCAACTCTCCAGCCCCTCTGGTTAACTGGCTTTCCTGGGTTGGGGGTGATTGCAGCCACCGGAAGAAAAGGATGCGACAGCTGCAGAAGAAAATAAAGAATGGGACACTGAGCATAAAGCAAGATGACCCCTTTGAACTCTTCGTAGCAGCCACAAACATTCGCTATTGCTACTACAATGAAACCCACAAGATCCTGGGCAATACCTTCGGCATGTGTGTCCTCCAGGTGGGTGACCTCCTCTAGCCTGTGGGATCAGCGGGTGAGCCCAGAGCACTGAGGTGCTGGGGCTGACTGGTTCCTCAGCGAGAACTGGTGGTATAGTAAGGTGAGAAGATTCACATCCCCACCCCTAGAATTGTTAATGGAAGACTTGGCTATTTTTCCAAAGGAAACTTAATCACTTACGCCTATATGAAAGCAAAGTGATCCACTTAAGGCAGCACTTGTCTGGAGATACTGAAAACTAAAACGAAACCCACTCTCATCGAGCACGTTCTAACTCACAGCGACCCTATAGGATGGAGTAGAACTGCCCCACAGAGTTTCCAAGGCTGTAAATCTTTATGGGAGCAGACTGCTGCATCTTTTCTCCTGCAGAGTGGCTGGTGGGTTTGAACCGCTGACCTTTCAGTTAGCAACCAAGCTGTTACCACTGTGCCACCAGAGCTCCTTCCTGGAGATACTAAACATGGCTTAAGTTTTATCACGGCTAGTTCTAACCAGCTGAAGTTGATAAAGGATTGAACATTGAGTGACCCTAGGACTCCAGAGCCCTGTTGGACCTAACCAAAGATTTCTTCCCTGACTAGTGAGCAGTGGAACTTATTTTAATCAACTGGGTACAGACCTGTGGACTCATATGTCCTATTCAGAGTGCTTCATTAGTATAACTATCATGACATCTTCTTTATCCCTCCCCTGCCCACCCCCGCACCCCACTCCCCACCCCCCAACACACACTTTCTTGTTTGTAAGAACTACTTGGTAAATTTCTTCAGTGGTATGTGTTCTCTTGTCTGGCAAGTTACTAGTTGAAGTTTTGCATTTTTCCTTGTTTTCAGCTCTGGTAGCTTTTGTTTTATTCTTTGACACCTTTTGTTGTTAGTTGCCTTCAAGTTCATTTTCTAGTCACAGTGACCCCATGTGACAGAGTAGAACTTCCCCATAGGGTTTTCTAGGCTGTAATCTTTATGGGAGCAGATCGCTGCGTCTTTCTCCCATGAAACTGTTAGGTGGATTTAAACACCAAGCTTTTGGTTAGTGGCCAAGCATTTAACCATTTTGCTGCCAGGGCTCCTGCTTTGACAGCTAACCCTGCCAAAAAAGAAAAAAAAATTAAGGATAAACCCTCAGATTTTTTGTGTATTTGTTATATGTATATACTGCTATATTTATGATTATGTAAATTATAAAACATACTTTGCAAAAATAAATTAAGAAATGAGGGACTAAATCACGCCTAGAAGTTCCACTTTTTTTTCTGTATTCCAGTGGGTTATCTGGTACACTTCTGGCTTGCATCCCACCATCGAGGCCAGGAAAAGAGAATATTTGCCTCCTTCTCACTCTCATCCAGGGAAACACCTGGACTGATCACTGATTGGTGGGGAGTGTTCACTCACCCCCCCTTAACAGTTACAGCAGTGATGGGCTCCTTTAAGCAGTAGCTCCCACATGTGTAGTTTTGTCAAACATGGTAGATCTACACACATGTCAGAAAAAGCACATGGGATGTGTCTGAAATTCAAATGTTGAGTCCACAATAGACTTGGAGGACTGTTTCCAAGTAGGATTTTATCAGAGTTGCATAGAAACATTTTTGACATACAAAAAAGCAAGTACACCTGTACTAAAGGGCTAGGCTCTCTTGTGTAGTGCCCCTGACTAAGGGGCCATGAATGTGTGTGTTTTGTGTGTGTCCTGGTAAACCGGCAGGTGAGGGGGCATGGTTTTGTATTTGTGCACTGAAGCCCTCTTTTTACTTTATCATCTTGTTCTTGGTTTGGTATCCCTGGGGGTGCCATTTGCATGACCAGCCCTTTCTAAGGTCTCCATTTTCTAGGATTTTGAAGCCTTAACTCCAAACTTGTTGGCCAGGACTGTAGAAACAGTGGAAGGTGGCGGGCTGGTGGTCATCCTCCTACGGACCATGAGTTCACTCAGGCAGTTGTACACGATGACCATGGTAAGTGTCTGTTTTTTAACTTAACTGTGGAGGCTCAAATCACTGTGTGTTTTCATGGCAGGCTACTTTCATGTAAAAACTGCTGTTGGGCAGTCAGCACAGTCTGGGCTGGGAGCTCATTGAGTGCAACTAATCATAAAATCGCTGCAGATAAATCTTGGTGGCCCCGAGCGTGTGTAGGAATCTGCATTTCTCATCTGTTTGCAGGCATTTGCAAATCCTACACCAGTGAGATTCGAATATGATGCAGTTTTTATATGGTTAAAGTTCCTAGAATGAGTATTCTGCAGAGTCACACCAGTGCCTAAATTTGTGTATTGTAAAAAGAGGGACCATGTGCAAACTTCCGCGCTGGCTCTCATCTTAATGGATGATTAAGAAACCTTTGCCAGTTCTACTCCCTGTTTGGCAAGAGAGAACTTTGACTCTGGGAGAAATAGCTTTATCTGAAAGGAGGCGCAACTTTAAGGACGTGGTTAGAGGTCGAGCTATGTCTCCTCTGATGCAGAGCTTGTCTCCTGACTCCATTAGTCCTGTCACGTTTGTTCTCTGAGAAGCGGTTTTTGAGTCATGCCCATTGCCCAGCTGCTTGGCAGTGGTGTTAGAATTGTGTTCAAGATTTCATGAGCTGCGTTTATCTGATGAGATGGTCTTTCCTCAAATCTCAGTGGCTGCTTCCTATCACTACCACTCCTACCGTCACTCACACTCTGGCCTCCTCAGAGTTCCTCAGACATGCCCTGCTTGCTCTCACCTCTGGGCCTCTGACTTGCTGTTCCCACTGGATGTGTCTGATCCTGGTTCCAGCAAATGGCGTTTGGCCAGTTTAGCATAGCGTGGTGTGTAGGAGTGGATTCTGTTTCCAGTAGCATCTCTGACATCTCCTTTATCCCAGGGTTGCTTGACGGAAATCTTCACATTTGGAACCTGAACCTTAGCACTATTTGGACACTAATGGGTATTGTCTTGCTGTTTTTAGGACGTGCATTCAAGATACAGAACTGAGGCCCATCAGGATGTCGTGGGAAGATTTAATGAACGGTAGGTCTCTAGGTTTGCAGCGTACTTCTCAATCCCTTACGATTGTGGGGGAACGATAAAAACAAAAAAACAAACCCGTTCTGACTCATAGTGACCATATAGGACAGGATACAACTGCCCCCATAGGGTTTCCAAGGCTGTAAATCTTTACGGAAGCAGATTGCCACATCTTTCTCCCACAGAGCAGCTGGTGGGTTTGAACCACTGACTTTTCGGTTAGCAGCTGAGCACTTAATCACTGTGCCATCAGAGCTCCTTGGGGGAGCCATAGTGGGAGGAATATTTTTCTCTTGGATCCAACTGAAAGTTTTACATGTGAGGAAGGTTGTACAGGAGTCCAAAGCAGTGGGATTCTTGACAGCAGTAGTAGTTGTGAAACTAGCTGGAAGGGGTGAGATTGAGTGGAAAGTTGGGACCAGAGACCTGGATCCTTCTGTCTTGGTTCTGGCGCTGGCTAGTTTGGTGGCCTTAACCAAGTCACCATACCTCCCTGCTCTTAGCTTGCTCACCTTTCAAACGGGGGATTTGTGTCAATCTCTGCTTCCTGAAGTGTGTTTCACAGAACACTGTTGTTTTAAGAGGGACCTTGTTACAAAAGGGTGTTCTAACCAAATACGTTTGGGAAATGGTGATACTGCTTTCCCTTTATGAAGGTTTTCATTATCCTCTTATAGCTTCTGAAAAGTTTTCCAGCAGCAGGGACCTGTTTAACTGATTGTTTCCCAGTTTTATTTGACCACAGAGCCCTTGTACACCAGTACCTTAAGAAACTGTGGCCTAGATCAGTGGTTCTCAACCAGAGTGATTTTGCCCCCTGGGGACATTTGGCAGTGTCTGGAGAAGTTTTGATTGTCATGACTGGGGCAGTGGAATGGAGGGAGAGGGGTGGGGGATGCTACTGGCATCTAGTAAGTAGAGGCCAGAGATGCTGCTAATCAGCCTGCAATACCCAGCACAGCCTCTTCTCCCACAACAAAGAATTATCTGATCCAAAATGTCAGTAGTTCTGAGGTTGAGAAACCCTGGCCTCAGTGAACCTTAGGGCTTTTTCTAATTTTAATAATCTGACACTTTAACTCAGTAGAATGAGTAGACCAAAGGAGGAGCTGTGTGCTGCTGAATGGAACAGAAGCCTGTGAAAGTAGCCAGTGAGACCCTTTTTTTGCAGTTGTAGGAGGGTGTTTGAATTTTATAGCCAAATACGTCTTTTTCTACAGGCGAGAATGTTTATGTTACATTTCTTAAGGGAGCTTTCCTCTCCCTTTTATTTAATTTTTTTCTTTTTGGGATAGAAGGTAAATCCATTTGTGTATGTGTTTGTTTCCCCATGTGACTGGTGGCCATTTGGTTTGGAGTTCCACATTTAAGGATGGTCTGAGACAGGACCGGGCAGTGTTTCGTTCTGTTGTACACAGGGTCGCTATGAATCGGAACCAACTCAATGGCATCTAACAACAACAACCAAATGAGACACCTTAGTGGTAAAGGGTGAGCCTCGGAGGATGTGGGAAGGGCCAAGAGGCTTAGAGAACGGAGGTGGTTGTGCGTCCTAGGAAGGCTTGTAATCGGTCTCTTGTGAGGAGTCCTTGGTTTTCTTGTTTGCTTTATGAAGCATGTTCATTATAGAGGAGGCTCTGAGTCATCTCTCGCTACTCACACCGGCTTTCTCTGGCTTCTTAGTCATGTGGGGCCAAATGATTTTCTTGAAGAAAAGCAAAAGCGCTTGTTGTGTAGACACTGCTGCCCCTCTTCCTCAACACCTCATTATGGTGGTTTTTTTCCCTCAGGTTTATTCTGTCTCTGGCCTCTTGTAAGAAGTGTCTCGTCATCGATGACCAGCTCAGTATCCTGCCCCTCTCCTCCCACATAGCCAGCATTGAGGCGCTACCTCCGAAGACTCCGGTGAGTCTGTGTCAGGGGCCTGGGAATCTGGGGGAGGCTGTATTTTCTGTGTTGATGTTTCCGTGGCAAATCCTCTGCTCCTCTCTCTCTGGTAGGATGAGAGTCTCGGGCCTTCTGATCTGGAGCTGAAGGAGTTGAAGGAGAGCCTGCAGGACACCCAGCCTGTGGGTGTGCTGGTGGACTGCTGCAAGACCCTAGACCAGGTGAGGGTGGCGGGCAGAAAGCCTCAGAAGCCCAGTGAGGACAAGACTTGGATCCTTCCCGGGGAAAGGGCCCCTTTCTTTTGCTTGCACTCATGCTTGCCCCACAACAGCAGGACTCCTCTGTGTTGTCTGGATTCACAGGAGAATTCCAGGGATGACCTCCACCCCACCCCAACTTAACAGCTCAGGGAGCTGGGGGTCAGGGAGACATGGATTAAGTTTGGAGAGGAAACACCCTCAGCATTTTTCTAAGACAGGGTGATACTCTGGTATTCCTTAATCCCAGACCCATTTTGATGATGTAAAGATACGTATTAAACCCCAGTTGCTTGTGACTTTTACCACAGTGAGAGCTTGAGGCCTCCTGTACTTAGCCCAGTCCTCATGTGAGGCCACGTGTGGTTCCTCTGTGGTGGTCAGTACCTGGTCTTTGGACACAGCAGTAGGCTGGGTGGGAGCTGCCAGGTTGCCTTTCAGTGCTCACCTGAGGTGGCCAGTGCTGGTAAGCTCAGCGTCTCTGGTTCCTGGGCCGTAGTGGGAGCTGACTGGGGATGGCTCAGAGGCCATTGAGGCTGTAGGTATGTTCAGGGTCCTGGTCCAGCTTCATTCAGATGAGTAGCACAGGCCTCTGGGCTCCTGGGCTCTACTCTCATGATGGAAAACAGCTGCATTGACACCTCCCACTTGGGGATGACTCCCAATGGGTTGGTTTCCCTTTTCATCTGGAAACGTAATAATCAGCTACACAGCTCTCAGCTTAGCCAGGCTGCAGGCCCTAGGCTGCTTCAAATTACTTCCTGGTATTCTCTTCATCACCAGAGAAGAGAGGGGTGGGAGAAGAAGGGGAGAGGAACCTATAATACTAGTAGTAGTATTATAAAAGTAATTAATGGCCTGTGGTTTAAAAAAAAAGAAAAAAAAATTAGTAGGTACAAAAGTAAAAAATGGAAAACTGATGTTTCCACTTGGCAGTTCCACTCCCCAGAGGTAACGCTATTAAGTTTACTGTGTATCCTTCTGGATCTTTTTCTATGTCTGTAAATGGATATTTTTTAAATTCGTGAAGAGGTCACACTATATAGGGTGTAAGTGGTCCCCTACTGGACATTTGGGCTGATTCCAGATTTTTCACTGTTATAAACAGTGCTGTTAGGACATTCTTATACAGATACGTCTTTTGATGCATGGGCAGTATGTCTAGCATAAGTTTCCAGGAATTAACTGGATCAGAGAGTGACTGCATTAAAGTGGATGTCCCACCAGTCTGTGGAACCACCAACAGTGTATGAAAAATGCCTTTTTCCCTGCAGCCTTGCCAATGCTGGGTACTGTTAAACTTCTAAACCTTTACCTATCTAGTATGGGAACACAAGATTGTTTTAATTTATGTTTCTTTAAATATCAGAGAGCCAGGTACCCTTTTCATGCAGTTGTTGGCCATCTATATTTTTTGGGTGTGTGAACTAATCTGCTCTTCTGCCCATTTTTTAATTGGGTTGCTTGTCTTTGTTGAATTGACATTTTATTTTAGAAAATTTAGTTCATATTTGGTGTCTTAGTCATCTAGTGCTACTATAACAGAAATACCACAAGTGGATGGTTTTAAGGAAGAGAAGTTTATTTCCTTAGTCAAGTAGGCTAAAAGTCCAAATTCAGGGTGTCAGCTCCAGGGGAAGGCTTTCTCTCTGTCAGCCTTCTCATCAGTGTTCCCCCGGACTAGGAGCTTCTTGGTGCAGGGACCCCGGTCCAAAGGATGCGCTCTGCTCCCGGCACTGCTTTCTTGGTGGTATGAGGTCCCCATGTCTCACTGCTCACTTCTGTCTTTTACATCTCAAGACAGTGCCTCAGGACACAATCCAGTCTTGTAAATTGAGTCCTGCCCTAGTAACACAACTGCCACCCATCCTCCCTCATTAACATCATAGAGGCAGGATTTACAACAGATAGGAAAATCACACAGTACCAGGAATCATGGCCCAGCCAAATGGACACATACATTTTTTGGGGGGACATAATTCAGTCTATGACATTTGGTATCCTTCTGTTAGGTTAGTGAGTTTTTTTCAGTTATATTTTACCAGAGTTTATAATTGCCCTACTCCAAGAAACAAACAATAGGGTGAAACACAGCGTTCCTTTAAGGCCAAGTTAAGACAAGTAGGACCTCGATCCCTTTGAGTGTTTCCATCTAGAGAGACTCTGGCTTCCTGTAGCTTCTTCCTTTCCTTCCCTTCCATCTGCTCTGGCCTGCATCTCTTCATTGTCTTCTGAGTGTCACTGCCTAGGTGAGTGGGGCAACTTAATTTCTTCAGGACCCAACAAGCCAGGCTGGACTATCTGGCTGCCTTCCCATTCTCAAAGGCCTCTTCCCAGGAGGGGAGCACAGCTTGGCCCCTGAGTAGTATTGTGGCTTAGCCTCTCACTTGGCGCCACTGGCATTTGCTTTCCCTTCCAGGTACCAGGCGCTAGGCGCCAGCAGTAAATGAGAGGGGCACACCCTGCCTCCTGGAGCTTACATTCTAGTGGGGTGAGGCAGGCAGTGAATAAAGCAAACAAGTCAATCATGTAGTGTGGTGGGAGGAGGTATATACAGTGGAGAAAAGGAGAAAGCAGCAAAGAGGGATAGGGGAGTCCCAGGATGAGGGTGGGATACTGGCGTTTTAGACAGAGCGGTCAGGGAAGGCTCCACTTTGAAGGTGGTATTTGAGCAGAGACTTGAAGGAGGTGAGGGGACGAGCCATGTGGCTCTCTGGGGAGGGAAGATGTTTCAGGTGGAGGGAACAGCGGACACATAGGCCTGAGGTAGGAGTGTACCTAGTGTTCTCCAGGACTAGCAGGGAGGCTGATGGGGCTGAAGCAGAGTGAGTGGGGGATAGGAGAAGGTGAGGTGGCAGAGAGGGTGGTTGTCAGACAGTATGGGCCGTGTAGGCCACGTAGTGAGAGATGGGTCTGGTGACGGGTTTTATGCTGGTAGTCTCTTCTTAGCACAGCTGCTGGTTTTTAAAGGATCCTTCTGACTATTGTGTTGGGTGTAGACTGTAGCGGAACAAGAGTGGAAGCAGGAAGGCTTATTAAGAGGCTGCTGCAATAACCGACATAAGCCAGGCTGGTGGCTTCGACCTGAGTGGTAGAGGGGGAGATGGTGAGGAATGGTGGTAGGGTTTTGTACGTTTTGAAGGTCATATTAACCTCATTTGCTGACGAATGAGGCGTGGGGATAAAACAGAAGGCTTTTGGCCTAAGCATTTGAACAGAGTTAACTGAGATGGGGAAGGTGGTAGGTGGAGGAGGTTTGGGGGGACATTAGACATTTTAAGTTTGCTGTGTCTATTAGTCATCCATGTGGAGATGTACAGAAAGCAGCTGATGCATATACAAGTCTGGTGTGCGGGAGAAGAGGCCTGGACGGGAGATGGAAATTTGGGGGTTATCAGCATATGTTGGTATTTAAAGCCTTGAGACTGAGATGCAGTCACCAAGGGGTTGGGAAATCCAGTAGCAAGCACTGCTTCCTGGCCTGTAAGAAGCGCCTCCTTTAATTAGCCTTGGCCTCAACCTCACTTCTCCACAGTGACACCGATGAGAAATGGCTGAAACGTGGGCCTTTCTCAGAGCCCACCTAACAGTGTTTCTCTTTGCGTAGGCCAAAGCCGTCCTGAAATTCATTGAGGGGATCTCTGAAAAGACCCTGAGGAGTACCGTTGCGCTCACGGCTGCCCGAGGAAGGGGAAAATCTGCAGCCCTGGGATTGGCCATTGCTGGGGCTGTGGCATTTGGGTAAGCGGGTCCAGTTCCCCACCTTTAGGACCTCTGGACTCTGACGGGGACAGTGTGCAGGGTTAACTGACTGACTGGGCTCACTGTGTGATTTCTCTGGGTCTCAGGTTCCTGCTTGGAAACAGCAACACTGCTTCACCCACCCCACTCTTAGATGTGCACAGATGTGTGTGTACATACACAGACACACACACCAGTGTCTTTGTAATCACTGTTTAGAGATGAATACACACACAAAAGCAAAGAAATGAGATCAAGAAACCTTAAAATTCTCAGAGGATAAGAATGTATACTGTCGGCTTTGCAGACTAAGTATAAATTTGACGTTTTAATGATTTTCATTAATCGAAGACCTTGTTTTCCTCTCAGGAGCTGCCTTTGAGTGTGCTCTTACTCTCTGTTCTTTGCCCTGGACAGATTTACACACCTATTGATAGAGTACGTGCTACTGATTTTGCAGACATAATAATTGACCTTCTATGTGCATTATCTTCTTGGTGCTCCTAATAGCTCTGTGAGCATTTTATAGGTGGATAAACCTAGGCTCAGGGAGCTCCATTGACTTACCCAAGGTCTGCTACAAGTCAGTGCTGGTGGAGCTGGGTGTGTTCTTTGTTCTTTCTACTACTCCAGTGGAGTAGCTACCACTCAGCCTCTTAGCCATTAGTGGTCCTTTACACTCAACATGGATCTGCTGGAGGTTGAGCTGTGGCCTCAGCACCGACTGAGCTCTCTGGCTTCTTGGTTTGCAACCCTCTTGACATAGCTGGTGATGACTGTGAAGCAGTCACTCTTGTAACAGGACCCTGGATTGGTGAGCAGCCTGCTGGCTCTGCAGACTGAGGGAGTTGTCCTCAGCTCCTCTCAGCAGTCTGCTTTCACAGTTGTCACCTGCCAATTGCTGGGACTTGCTGCCTTCAAGTTGACATGTTTTCATTGGTTGGGAATAAAAATATACTTAGGTCTGGAGTTGCTTTACTTTTTCTCCCCAAAAGATACCTTGATTTTATTTCCTGCTGTTACCTCAGGTTATCCCGAGTGAGGGAAGCCAACTTTTATTTTATTTTATTTTTAATTTCTTAAAAATCCTCCTTTTCTTTTGTCTTATAGGTACTCTAATATCTTTGTAACTTCCCCAAGCCCTGACAACCTCCACACTCTGTTTGAATTTGTATTTAAAGGATTTGATGCTCTGCAATATCAGGTAGGACATGAGGATCTTACTTCAATTCAGTGCTGGGTTTAAATCCAGGTGAAGTCTTTAGAGTGCCTGCTTGCTTTCTTAATATTTAGGCTCTAAAGCTTGTCATTGGTTTGACTCTCTCCTCTTCAGGAGCACCTGGATTATGAGATTGTTCAGTCTTTAAATCCTGAATTTAACAAAGCAGTCATCAGAGTGAATGTGTTCCGAGAACACAGGCAGACTATTCAGGTGAGGCTCGCTCTACCACCCTGCGGTGTGGACCCGCGTGTGTCCTGTTGTATTTAAATGGTTCTAAGATGTTTCCCTTAGGAGGCAGCCTGTGTCCTGTGTAAGTGCATGTCCTTTTGAGAGCATTGTTGCTTTCCCATAGACCTGTTCCTGATTGTCAGCCTCTGCTAAAGAAAACCATTCCAGCAAACTAGAAGTGCATGTAGCCAGATTGAAAAGTTGTTCCTCTAAAATCGAATAAGTGGGATTGTGAGTGTGCTGACTAGCTTAAAAAAAAAAAAAAAAGTAAGCATTGTTCTGACATCAGTTCTAGATTTGCTTCGTTACTGCAAATTTTAAAATGGTTTCATCTGCAACTAGAAGAATAACCTCGCCGTTGAGAAGACAAAAACTTTGCAGAATACACTCTGAATTTGTGCTTCAGCCAGTGGCCCATTTTCCTTTTTAAACAGTGCTTTCCTGAAAGCTCTATAAATCTCCAGTGCTGTGTAAGCCTGAATGGTCTGTACTTGTCCAAAGGCTCCATTTGGTTAAATCTGTAACATAGGCGTCAGCGTGACAGGCCTGCAGAAGGGAGTGAGAACCGTTTGCTCTTGGAGTAGGTTCATCGATTATTTTTGGAGTTGGATTGGGTGGGAAGTAGGCCAGGAGAACTTGGCAGTTTCTGCCCTCACACTTTAAACGTGTATGTCCCTGTCAAGGAGTCCAAATTATAAATAACGCTGTGTCTATGCCCTTTACCTTAAGCATCTCCCTCCCCATCCCGGTCTCGTTCTAGAGTCTCTTCATTCTGTACATTTCTTCCCACTTTTGCCTGATTTCCTCAGCTGAAAGTAGGTGTGGGGTTGAGGGCAATGAGAATATGGAGACCTGTTAAAACTCAAGAAAAATATACAAAGCAAAGAAGGAAAACACTTCCCTGAAATGCCCTGGCTCAGCCCTCACTCCTACTTGAATTTGTAATCAAATGCCCTCTCGTATTACCAGAGTCCTTTTGTTTCCAGACCGGAGTTTAAACAGAGAGGAGGTGACCTTACTTTATGAGGCTCCGTTTGTGTCCTTTTGGGGCCTCTTTCTTCTTGCAGGAGATTGAGAAGCAGAAGAATATTAAAGTCTACGATGCCTCCCCTAGAGGGCTGCTCTGTGCTGCTTTTATCAGGCGCTTGTTTAGTTTTTCCCCTTAAGTATCCAAAGATGTGGGGCCCTATTGAGGATGTGTATCCTGCTTCGAGGAATGAGTGGGGCCGCTGCCTCCCTGGCTCATCAACTTCTAGCAAAGCAGTTAAACAATCTTAATTGTAACAAGATATTTCAAATGTACAATAAAGTGCAGGGACCAGTATAACACCAAGTACCCACCACTTAGATTTAAGAAATGTTGACATTTTGCTGTATTTGTTTCATATTTTAAAAACTCATTTAATTTTTGTTTTAAAGAACTGAAGTATCACAGATGCAGTTGAAGTCCCTCTTGTACCCCACCCCATCCCATTCTTTCTGTCTCTCCTCATAGGTAGCTGCCATTTTGAGATTGGTGTGTTTCCTTCCAATCCATGTGTTTATACTTTTACTAAATAATTACGTGTCTGTAAATGGTAACATACTATACTTGCTCTTCTTCAGCTTACCTTTTTTTTTCAAAATTTGTTTTTAAGATTTGTCCAGATTGTAGATCTAGTTGATTGGTTTGTAAACACTACATGAATATACTACAGTTTGTTTATGTATTTTTAGAAGTGGAATTGTTTGGTTTTAGGATATGTAGCTGTCTTAGTCATCTAGTGCTGCTACAACAGAAATACCACAAGTGGTTGGTTTTAACGAAGAGAAGTTTATTTCCTTACAGTAAAGTAGGCTAAAAGTCCAAATTCAAGGTGTCAGCTCCAGGGGAAGGCTTTCTCTCTCTTGGCCTTCTCATCAGTGTTCCCCCAGACTAGGAGCTTCTTGGCGCAGGGACCCCGGTCCAAAGAACGCGCTCTGCTCCCGGCCCTGCTTTCTTGATGGTATGAGGTCCCCCTGTCTCACTGCTCACTTCTGTCTTTTATATCTCAAGAGATAGCCTCAGGACACAATCCAGTCTTGTAGATCAGGTCCTGCCTTACTAACACAACTGCCACCCATCCTCCCTCATTAACATCACAGAGACAGGTTTACAACATACAGGAAAATCACACAGTACCAGGAATCATGGCCCAGCCAAACTGATACACACATTTTTGGGGGGACATAATTCAAACCATGATAGTAGCTTTCCAGCTTTCCTGGATTTTGCCAAATTGCCCTTTGAAGTGTTTGTACTGATTGACCTGGACACCAGCATTTTTTTTGTTTTGTTTTGAGTTTTTGTTTCCCCAAGTCTTCACCAACACCTATTCTGAAGTTGAGAAACATGAGAGAGGATAAAGAAGAGGGAAAGGCAAGGGAGCAACCATCTAGCAACACTAAAGCCAGCCATTGGGCAAGACTTTTTTACATAGTCATGCGTCACTTAACATCCATGGTAGATTCTGTGAAATAGAATGTCATGTGATATGAATGTTGTGTGAGCACCATATTATATATAGGCAGTCCCTGGGTTAAGAATGCCTGACTTACATATAACCTGTAGTTATGAACCAACCCCTATAAAGCCTATTATATTAAAACCTTATGGGAGCCTGCTTCCAGTTGTCCTCATTGCTGCTCCTGCTGCTGGAGCTGCTGGAGGAGGCTGGAGGAGTGGGTAGTGGCAGCAGCAGCCTCTGGGAGCAGAGCAAGAGAAAGTGAGCAAGGAGGGAGCAGGAGCAGCCCAGGACCTGTAGGCTGCTACCACCACCAGCTGCCATCGCCCGCTTGGCCACCTGACAAAGCCCAAGAGCCCATGTATCCCACCTGCTTGTATCCCACTCGTGGTCTAGTGCTGCAAGATTCTGGGTTTAGAGTCTTTAAAACCATTAGTGGGAAATAATAAAAGGAGAGCTGCTTTGCCTTTAAAAAAATAAAAACAAAAAACCTTATGGGACCATGACATATATGCAGTTGGAAGTTGCCCGAACGGACGGCACGTGGCACATGACCGTAATTACCTTATTTTTTTTCTCGAGCAACCCTAAGACAGATATGTCATTCATTGTACAGAAGAAGAATCTGAGGCTGTCTGAGATTAAGTGACCTTTCCAGGGTCACACAATAATTGGTTGAACTCTGATTGACTGTCTGGTGTCTAACTCCCAAGACCATTCCATTTTGCCCTGGCAAGGAAAAATGAAAAAGAGGAATGGAAGAAAGAAGAAATGGGAAGGGGAAGAGAGATGAAAGAGAGTAGCTTTATGATGAGTCACCAGTAATCAGCCATGCCATTAGGTGGCCAAGCTAATGATCTAAAATTTTCCTCCCTGCAGTATATACACCCTGCAGATGCTGTGAAACTGGGCCAGGCTGAACTTGTTGTGATCGATGAAGCAGCTGCCATCCCCCTCCCCCTGGTGAAAAGCCTACTTGGCCCGTACCTCGTTTTCATGGCATCCACCATCAACGGGTGAGGCCCTCTCAGCAGAGCTTTTGACCCCACAGTTGGTTAGTGCCGATTAGGTGGCATGTAATGAATATGGCCTGGGCCTGGGAATCAAGTTGGAGCCTTTCTTTGGGATGGCTTCAATCTCTCCTGGACCTTCTGCAAACAGGAGCCTGCCTCTTCATGATAAATTGTAATTTGCCTCTGGTCTGACGTTAAATGGGCAACATAAGACCGAAAGTTTCATAACCCATGTGACGAATGTCTCTCCTTCTGTCTTTAGGCCATGTTCAAGTTTTTTAAAGTGTGTGATGGCAACAATACCAATGTCTTATATCTTCGAATTACGTGAAAATATAGTGTTGAAGTAACTAATTAGCATAAGAAAGCGGGCTTATAATAGCACAAGAGCTGCTTTTTTGATTTGAAATAATTAGTTCATGTTTGCTACAGAAAATTAGAATAAAAAAATCTAATAAGCAAAAGGAGAAATCTGAGCCAAGGCTCCATGCCACCTTGCCTCATGGGACATGTGCGTGTCTCACTGGGAGTCCACAGATGGGCAAAGCTGTCCTTGGGGAGCAGGAGTCTGGCGTGTCAGCAGGATGAGGAAGGAGGCTCTGTCCCTTCCTGGAGAGTAGATTTGGGACCTAGCGCCTGATTACCTTTGCCTTTACTCCTAGCTATGAGGGCACTGGCCGGTCACTGTCCCTCAAACTAATTCAGCAGCTTCGACAACAGAGTGCCCAGAGCCAGGTCAGCACGACAGCTGAGAACAAGACCACAACGACAGCCAGACTGGCATCAGGTACCCCCTGAGCTCTGAACTGGGCCCTGCCGTTCACAGCAAGTCCCTTCAGACTCTTGCTTGCTGCCCCTAATGACACTGTGGGTGGTACCAAACCGTCCCATCATAAGGCAAAAAGGCTAAGTCCCCAAGAGGTGAAGTAGCTTTTCTTAGAGGGGCTGCAAGCCAGTGTTTGTCACTGTCTCTGGGCATGGATGCATTGACTTAGTGAGATCCCTGTGGGGTTAGTATCATGCTGAACATCCACTAAAACAATCTGAAACTGTTCTGTTCATATTCTTGAGCCATATTTATCTGGGTGCTATGAGACGGAGATAAACTAGAACAGTTTTGCTTGCTGCTTTAGACAATACATATTTAATAATTGTTTCTTATGTGCGTGTGTGGGGGGAACAGCTCGAACACTGCACGAGGTTTCCCTCCAGGAGTCAATCCGATATGCCCCCGGGGATGCAGTGGAGAAGTGGCTCAACGACTTGCTGTGCCTGGACTGTCTCAACATTACTCGGATCGTCTCAGGCTGCCCTTTGCCTGAAGCCTGTGAGCTGTATCCTCTGGGTCTCCCTTGCCCTGTGGAAGGGAGAGGAGCGATGAAGGCATTAAACAAAAGGGGTTTGGCCTTTGTGCCGTAGGATGCTGCTCTAGGGAAAGGCGAGAGTTGAACCTTCTCAGTTTCCCTTTTCTTCCCACCCCAGTGTCGTGTTTTGCTTAGGACACTGTGCTCCTCTTCCAAAGCTGTGGGAAACCCACACATCCTGGTGACCACTGGAAATACTGTGTCCTGTTTTGAGATTTCTCTGGTTTGTTTTGGTTGCTTAACTCCAGACCCAGCTACTTTGTTAATAGAGATACCCTCTTTTGCTACCACAAGGCCTCTGAAATTTTCCTCCAACGGCTTATGGCCCTCTACGTGGCTTCTCACTACAAGGTAACTGCAACTCGCCCATGGGTGAACTTTAGCAGTGAACTTCCGTATTTGGCAGTCCCCTTTCACTTGCTTTCACATTTTTCATTACTGGGACTTTCATTACTGGGTTGGGACTTGAAGACTGTGACTATGGCACGGGCCAGTGACCTGGCTGGAGGGGTTACATTTCTCATTGTTGAGGCTTGTCTGGGTCTTCTGGCTTTGCATGCAGAGCGAGGAACTCCTGCATGTGGTTCTGTGCATGTTGGCTGTAGAGAGTGGGAAGCTTTGCCCATTTTAAAAGGTGTACTTGCATTTCTTGCCTGTCCACTAAACCAATAGGCTGAGATATTATAGCCATCATAACCCTGTGATGCTGCGTGGCCTGAGACCAGCTTTGTGCCTTGGGGTCCTTTCTAAAGAACAATGAGTTTGATGATTTAGAGTATCTAAAACTCTTAAAAACCAAAGGGCATGTTGGAAAGGGTACTTTTTGAGTGTTCAAGTAGTATTTTAATGAATAGCCTTTAATGGGTGGCTGAGGAGTTGGTATTAGAAGTGGTGACAGCTTTTCCTGAAATAGCAGTCTCTTATCTGGACAAAGTTCCATTCCCAGCTGTGAAACGAGCAGTGCTAAGTAAGACATTCTCTTCTGCCACTCTGCAGCCTCAGCACCGTGGTGAGAGGACAATAACATTTGAGGCTAAGTCCCACTTAAGCAAGTATGAAGAGTCTCAGGCTTGCCAAGGTAGTAGAAAGACGCTTTGCTGGGCTCCAGCTCATCACTTGGTTTCGGGGAAGGAGGTCCTCCAGGCATCGGATGAGTCTCGATCCAGCCACTTGTGTCATCCAAAGGGCGAGAGAAGGTTCTCACTGACCGGTGTTTGTGCCCCACAGAATTCTCCCAATGACCTCCAGATGCTTTCGGATGCACCTGCCCACCACCTCTTCTGCCTTCTGCCTCCTGTGCCCCCCACCCAGAATGCCCTGCCAGAGGTGCTGGCCGTCGTCCAGGTACGGAAGCAGGGCCTCCTTGTGGCATTGATTTTGGGACCCACTTACGCGTAAAGGGTTAGTGACTGTAACCACAGGGTGGGACGGGCAGCTGTCAATTCCTAGTCTGAAGCCAAGTGGCTGGGAATATTGAGGCAGGTAATTAGGGTGCATTGAAAGAAACCACCACCAACAGAAACCCAAAGGCCCACTGTTTGTTCATGTAAAATTCAGAACTGGCCACTCTTATTTTTGACTTAACAGCTCTTCCCACAAACAGAACTTTTTTATGTGTTTGTTTTCCTCCCTTTATTACAAAAGCAATACATGGTTATTGTGAAGTTAGAAGATAATAGTTTAGAAAAAACAATTTTTTAACACCTGGAACCTACTTCAAAGTATAATCGCACATGTATTTATGTGTTTCTTTATTGTTTTTGTTTTTTATAAATATGGGAGCATAGTGTTTGGTAATCTGCTTTTTTTAAAAAAAAACTGTGTATCATATATTTATCATCTACATAGTTTTGAAAGGCTGCATGGTGTTTGATTATATGCTTGTACCATAAATTGTTTGACCCCTCCCCTATTGGACATGCCAGTTACTGTGAATCTCTGTGCAGAGCTGTGTGAGCCTGCCTTCGTCTCACTTGGATACAGAGGCACAATGTAGGTTTTCACACTTTGGGCAGGGAGGATGGCAGTGTTCTGCCTTGTTAGTAACCAGTGGTCAGGATGCCCACGGGACCTAGTAATGGGACTTCTGCTGGAAGTGGAGGAGTCATTTACAGGGTTAAGCCTGAACAGTGATGGAAACAGCCATCTAGTCAGAGAAAAACCAAAACGGGAGCAGAATCTGCTCTGGAGCTGCCTTAGGGTATACATTGCCCTGCTTCCCCCACAGGTGTGCCTTGAGGGGGAGATTTCCCGCCAGTCCATCTTGAACAGTTTGTCTAGAGGCAAGAAGGCTTCTGGGGACCTGATCCCATGGACAGTGTCAGAACAGGTGATGCTGTTTCCCTGGCATGCCTGAGTGAGTGGAGCTGGTGGTATCAGAGGACGCTTTGTGGTGCTAAGTTACTGGCTTATGTCTCCCTCACAGTTCCAAGATCCAGACTTCGGTGGTCTTTCTGGTGGAAGGGTCGTTCGGATTGCTGTTCACCCAGACTATCAAGGGGTAATGTGTCCTCACGTCCCTTGAACTTGGCATGCCGTCGTTAGCTGCCACCATCATGCTGTCAGGTCTTGGGGGCAGGCACACTTGGTTGTCTGCCCAGGAAGCCTGTTGAGGAGCAAGCTGAGCTCCAGGCACTTGTCTGCTGTGGAGAATTTGGGCGGGGGTGGGGTGGGCGGGTGGACAGGATGACAGTATAGGCTCACTCTTCCTTTTGTGAGAACAGGACTTGCAAACCAGATCTACTTTCCATAATTACCTTGTATGACTTGGAAATCCTCATTGAGGAGTTAGCTGTAGAAACTTGAGCTCCCTCTTTGGGGCTTGCTGATAGATGAACCAGAAAGCGTGGCCAGCCATCCTTGCCCTCGAGTGGCAAATAGGCTCTTCTTGCTGGGCTAGACAAGCCTAAGAGCTGGGGTCCCCCTACTTCCCATCTTACAGGTCTCTGCTTTGACATCATTGAGGGATTTCATTGGTTCTGTTTGCCAAGTGCGGTTTGACATGGAGTGAAGGCTTTCTAGAAGCAATCTAAGGGAGTAGAAACGGCTTAGACAGACTAAGGGCATCTCTCTTCCTTTGCTTCTCTCCGTGTTTGCTGATAGATGGGCTATGGCAGTCGAGCTCTGCAGCTGCTGCAGATGTACTATGAAGGCAAATTCCCTTGTCTTGAGGAAAAGGTCGTTGAGACATCACAAGAAATTCGCACCATAAGTAGTGAGGTAAGTGTCTTTTGGCAAAACTCGTGTTTCCTGGTTCTTGGGAGGCTAATTCTATGTCTTCAGGAGCATCAGAAAGAACTGTCCAGTGGTGTGGGACCTCTGAGTGGTAGCCGATATCCTCCCATTCTGGGGAAGCTGTGCTTTTTCTAGCCTAACACATAAGTTGAGATCCCTAGATCTGAAAGTGCCACCCCAGATCAGCATCATCAGCATCGCCTGGAAACTTGTTAAAAATTGAAGTTCCTGAACCTCATCCATCAGAAACTCCTGGGTGGGGCCCAGCAGTCTGTATTAACAAGCCCGAATCTGAAAGCCGCTGCTCCACAGTTGCCCCCTATTTCAGTCAGAGGCCCAGACTAAGGGCAGTTCTGTCATTAGTAGTGGGTTCTTTCCTGGCTGGGAATGGTGAGCACCAGCACCTGTGACAGTTGGGCAGCTTTTCACATCCATTCTTTTGTTTGATATTCACAATGTGCCTGTTTGGGAGAGAGGAAGGGGCTTTTATTTAAGTTCAGGCTCAGAGGTTTGCCTCTTTGTAAATCTGTTAAGCTTTTCTAGGCTGTGTGGCCATTTTCCTGCATTGTAGAGTCGGAGCAACGTCATTTCATACATGTTTAGGTGTTTGATATTTTTGCAATGGCCGCTTGATTCACATTTTTGTTTTTGTTGTTGATTTGTGACTTGGGAGACCCATGTGTTACAGAATAGAACTGCCCGATAGGGTTTTCTGCTGTAATCTTTACAGAAGCAGATCACCAGGCCTGTTTCTTCCATGGTACCACTGGGTGGGTTTGACCTGCCAACATTTTGGTTACCAGCTGAGTGCAAACTGTTTGTGCCACCCAGGGACCTTGACTCACATTTTTAAAAACACAGGAACAAACCAAGGAACTGCTGGGGTTTTATTGTGTTTAGTTCAGAGCCTGGTGTGGCAAGAGTGCTTGAGGTTGTTCCTAAGCATCCTCTCCCTCTGCTGAGTGGACTCTGTTCTCTCCCTGGCGCCTCCTAGGCTGTCAGCTTGTTGGAAGAGGTCATCACTCCGCGGAAGGACCTGCCTCCCTTACTCCTCAAGTTGAATGAGAGGCCTGCTGAGCGCCTGGACTACCTGGGTGTTTCCTATGGCATGACCCCCAGGCTCCTCAAGTAAGTGCTTGCTAGCCCTTCTGCCCCCTCCTTCACCCGCTTGGCGTTGGTGTCCTGAAAAAGAAGAGCTCTGTGACCTGTGTGTGGGGCTCCCTTTCCAGTTGGTGTCTCTGTCAGCTGTCTGTTGACTCCCTGCTCCTCCTGGACCTTGTCGCCTTTTCCTGTCAGCCCCTCCCAAACATACACGGTAATCTACTCTGTTTGCATCTTTGCAGATTCTGGAAACGAGCTGGATTTGTTCCTGTGTATCTGAGACAGACCCCGGTGAGTGAGGCGTCTGGCAGAGGAGGGGTTTGCAGTTATGGTTAGTGATAGGTCTGTCCTTACATGGAGCCCTGGTGCCTCTCTCCTGCACTGCTCTGAGCAAATGTGGCCCCTGCACCTCTGAAGAGGCTTATTCTGATGGACACCCAAACACTCATGCTCACTGAGAGACCACGTGACCACACATTTATTCCACAACTGCAGTGCGTGCCTGGTGTGTATGGGCTTTGTGCTTCCTTCCAAGGTGACAAGGTGCACGTGCACTTACTTGTTCATTAGATTCTGGAATCTTGGGACCTGGAGGCTTTCCCGGAATATGTAAAAAGGTAGATTTGGGCAAGGACGGCAGCTGTGCAGACTGGTTAATATCTGAAGGAGGGATGTAAATATGTGGATGACAGATCCACAGAGGATTATTGAAGGAAAGTAAGAGTTATGTGACTCGGTTCATTAAAAAAATATTTAGCACCTGCAGTGAATCAGGCAGTGGGCAAGATAAGCTGTGAAGCTTATTTTCTAATGGATGGAAATACACAGCAAAGAGGTGAACAAATAAATTTTCAGATAGCGGTATGTGCCATGAATAAAAAACATGAAAATTATAATAAGAAGATCAAGTTTCTGAGGGGGTGACCCTTCAAACCACAACTTGAATTATCAGAATGAACCAGCCGTGTGACAGTTTTGGGGAAAAGAGCATTTCCAGGCAGAGGGGGCAGCATGTGTGAGGACCTGAGGTGGAAATGAACTTGGTGAACTGAAGGGAGCAAAAGGCCATTGCGGGGAGAGTCCTTCAGGGGGAGAGTGGTGGTTCATGGCAGGGGCAGAGAGGTGTAGGTTAGGATGCAGATGAGAAACCCCGTGGCTGCATTGTGGCACAAGAATGGTGGCAGAGACACCAGTGGGGCGATGGGTGAGAAAAGACAGTGGTTTGGGCTGGGATGGAAGGAGAGGGGATGGAGAGAAGTAGCTGGAGCCAGGATACATGTTGGCTCCTTCCGTGGGTCCAGGGCAAAAGTCCTGCCCTGAAGATGGGAGCAGCAATGCAGCATTTCTGTGGCACCTCTAAGGAAGCTGCAGGATGTCTGAAGTGGGTCAGTGAGAGTGTGAAGGTGAGGGCTCTTCTGTGAAGGGCGCATTTCCCGCCAGGGGAGGAGAGGCTGCGGAGCCTGAGCCTGCCTTCTTGGCGCGCTTGCCCTTTCCCAGTGAGTGAGCTTTCACAAAAGGGTTCTTGGTGCCAGTCAGGAATGTGTGTTTCCCAGAACGACCTGACCGGAGAACACTCCTGCATCATGCTGAAGACGCTGACCGAAGAGGACGAGACTGACCAGGGAGCCTGGCTCTTGGCCTTTTGGAAAGGTGACCAAGGAGTGGGGGAAGCATGGTGATGGGCGTGGTCTCCAGGTCTCTAACTCTGCGTGGTTTTACCCACAGATTTCCGAAGGCGGTTCCTGGCCTTGCTCTCTTACCAGTTCAGCACCTTCTCTCCTCCGCTGGCTCTGAACATCATTCAGAACAAGAACATGGGGAAACCAGCCCAGCCAGGTGAGCTGGTTGGGCATCGAGGTAGAGGCCTTGGTGGTGGCTTGGTTGTGTGAAAGGCAGGCCTGGTGTTCTAGGCAGAGTGCTGGGCCTGGTTCTGGTCCTGCTCCTTCACTGACCACATCCTGCTCATCAGGCGCCTGCAGTGGCTCAGGCCTGGCCCGAGGTGTGCTGTCACACGCATCACCTCTTGTCTTCATGACAAGTCTTTGAGATGTGATTTGAGTTCAGAGATGTTAAGTAAGTTCAAATAGATCGTTAATTTTGGAACCTAATTTAAACCCTGTGGTCTCAGGTGACTCACTGAATCTCTGAGGCTCGGTTTCCTCATCTCTGAAACTGTAGTAAGAACATGCTGCCAGCTTTCTGTGGCCAACACGAGGAAGTGGTTTGGGTATATACGTTTGTGTTTGACTGTTTAAGTACAAACAGATGTGTTAGGGATTATTAGTATTAACAATGTGGGTTTCTTTCTGTTGCTCTGTGTGTGTGTATATGTATTTTTCCAGTTACATTTTGATGGGAAAATCTGTGATTTTCTAGCTATGTAGAGCATGCACAGTTTCTGTGAAGCTGTGTCCTGAGGAGAAGCAGCATAGTGGGCAAAGAGTTGTTGTGTTCCTCTGACCCTGGAGCACAGGGATTCTCTCCTTGGTCTGATGTGTTGTTGTGAGAGCTCTGAGCAAGTGTCACATGCCAACTGTCCCCCTCCCTGTGTGCCCAGAGCTGCCTTCTCCTTTGGCAGGGAAAGGGGTGGTGGGCTGCCGGGGCAGGGTTGTTACATCGCTGGGCAGGCTCTCAGATGGCTCTGATGCTGCCCTCTTTTGGCCGAACGCCCTGTGGAGGGGCAGTTTTTAAGGTGCTGTCTCGGGAGCTGTTGTGTGCACTATCTTATGCGTCCTGTCAGACCCCGGGGGTGTCGTGTTAACCTGTGTTGTGTGTCTAGCCCTAAGGCGGGAGGAGCTGGAAGCGCTCTTCCTCCCCTACGACCTGAAGAGGCTGGAGATGTATTCACGGAACATGGTGGACTATCATCTCATCATGGACATGATCCCAGCCATCTCCCGGATGTACTTCCTGAACCAGCTGGGGGACCTGTCCCTGTCTGCTGCCCAGGCGGTAGGTTACCTGGTGCTCATGTGGAGGAGTAGAGAAGCTGGTGTTTGTGGAGCTAGTGTTGGTTGCATTAGGTGCTTTTTCATAATTTTGTGCTGTGTGTTTAATTCCTAACAGTTGTGGTAGGTGGGTAGTGGTCTCCCCATTTTACAGATGAGGAAACCTGGGCTCAGAAGTCGAGTAATATGCCCAGTCACACGTTGGTGAGTGGGAGAGCTGCAGCTTGAGTCCATGTTCTTTCCACCCTACCACATTGCATTGATACTTACTCTGATCCTTTAGCAGAAGGTCAGAAATACCTTGAACTCTTAATGTTGTATGAAGCAGGTATTTGCCAGGATAGGAGAAGTTAGTTTGTGTGTCTCAGGAAGTGGGATAAAAACTAAGGTTCCAAAATAGGCAGTGCCAGTTTATGTTGTGTACCAGATACCTGTGGTCAAAAGAGAATAACTGGTTCTGGGCACCACTTTATGGGGGAGGCCTGTCCTGGCAGCCACTGCAGCAAGTTCTCATCCTCCAGGCCCTTCTGTTGGGGATTGGCCTGCAGCATAAGTCTGTGGACCAGCTGGAAAAGGAGATTGACCTGCCATCGGTCCAGCTGATGGGACTTTTCAACCGGATCATCCGCAAAGTCGTGAAGGTAACTCCTGCCTGAGGGCAGGGTCTTGGTCTGTTTTAAATAATACAATAAACTCCTGCTCTCGAGATGAACAAATGTTAACATTTGGCCATACTTGCTTCAGATCTTCACACACGATCACATCCCCCCTAAAAAGGGGACTTCACCTGTATCTGTAATGTTCTGTGTTCCCTTCCAGAGGCCCCCATTGTTAGGAATTTGATATAGGTCCAGTCTGTATGTTTATTCTTTTACTATGAGTGTATGCACTCCTGGATGATATGGAGCATTGCTTTGTGTATTTAGAATGCACACTTCCTTTAAGACACTAAATGACTCGGCAAGGAGTAACTGGGCCCCTGCTGCTCATTCATCTTCTGCTTCTTGGCCCGTCTTTTGTAGCTCTTCAGTGAAGTGCAGGAAAAGGCCATTGAGGAGCAGATGGTGGCTGTGAAGGATGTGGTTATGGAGCCGACAATGAAGACGCTGAGTGAAGACCTGGTACGTTCCTGCTGCAGGCTTCGAGAGTCTCAGCAGGCCCCTCAGTTGGTTCTGGCTTGTGAATGCAGCCTGTCCTCTGCATGGATGGAGCTGAGTGGTGTTCATGGGTCTGAGTGAGCATCATTCTGCTGAGACATCACTGCATGGTTTCTGTGTCCCCTGCCCTGTGTGGCTCGGGCACACTCATGGTCCCCACTGAATGTGTGTGAGTGCAGGCACCCCGGCATCTACTGCTGTCAGCATTCTGTTTGTCCTTTAGACTTTTCCAAGTGTACCTTTTATATGCTTATATACCTTAAAACAGTTAGAGCTGTCTATAATGATTTTGATAGAGTTCCTGGGTGGCGCAAATGGTTAAACCCTCAGCTACTAAATGAGATGTTGGCAGTTTGAATCCATCCAGAAGTACCCTGGAAGAAAGGCCTGGTGATCTTCCAAAAGTTCACAGCCATTGAAAACCTTATGGAACACAGTTCTACTCTGACACATGGGGTCACCATGAGTCGGAATCAACTCGATGGCAGCTGGTTTGATTTATAATGGTTTTGAGGCTAAACTGAAGAGAAGGGAATGTTTTATTGTCATTGCTGTACTCCCCACCACCACTTTTTTCTGTGTTTTGGTTCACTGTTTGACTTACTCTGTCAATGGGGTCCTTGACCATAGGATGAAGCAGCAAAGGAGTTCCAGGAGAAACATAAGAAAGAAGTAGGAAAGCTGAAGAACATGGACCTCTCTCAGTAAGGCCCCTTCCCTCCCGCTGCTCTGCCTTGGCTTCAGCATCTGTCTGCAGCTTTCTTCTAACCCACATCCTGGGTTTTCTGGAAGCTGTGTTTCATCGGCTTGATTTTAGAAGCACTAACAGCTAAAAACTTCCTAGTTTACTAATTGCATAATTTTGGAGGACTTGGTTTCCCCAGAATTGGAACGATCAACTCTGCCACTTTGATTTTCAAATTGTGTTCCCAAGATCACTAGGGTTCCACTTCCAGGCCTCAGGGGTCCCTCGGGGAAGGGGGTGATGATCGAATGGGCACCCACTTTTAATGGTCACAAATAGGCTCAACAGCAAGGGGTTTGGTTTTGGCTTTTCTGTATTTGGCTTTTGCATGTGAATTTGTTTGAAGAAAGGATTCTACTGCCAAAAAATACAAAAAAACAAAACCCTGGCTCTGGACTGTCTTTGTCCCCCTGGCCCCCATCGGTTGATGTGAATAATATCTCCAGAATGAGTGGCCTCTGAGCCTCTTTCAGTGGATCATTAGTGATGGCTGTTGTTGGACAGGTGAGGTGGAGGTGTCTGAGGAGGCCCCTGGTTGGGGCAGTGAGTTCTATTGTCTGCCCTCAGCTTTGCAGTTTTAAAATCTTGCCTTACCAGAGCCGCTAGATCGAAAAGAGGCAGGATGGGGGCATGATTGAGGGAGCATGTGGGCAGATGCCTGGAGGTGGGCATGAGCAAGGAGATTGGCGGGGGGAGGGAAGTGGCTGAAGGCTGCTTTGGTTAATGCCTCTGTGCACAACTGTCCTGTCACTTACCCTGCTGGCTGTCCTGGTAGACCCTCCTCGCTCCTGTGAAGTTTCTGTCCTGTGACCTAGAGCTAAGCCGCACATCTCTCAGCCCCTCCACCAGCCTGTGTCCCTTCTCTCTGCTCATCAAACGGTGACACAGCTCAGCCAGGCTTTCATGGCAGGAAGTGTCTGATAAGAATGTTGTTAAGTCTTGTTTATTTTAGACAGTCCCCTCTTCTTTCATGTGGGCTTTTATGTTTCCTTTCTTTTTTTAGATACATAATCCGTGGGGATGACGAAGAGTGGAATGAAGTTTTGAACAAAGCTGGGCAGAATGCCTCCATTGTCAGCCTGAAGAGGTGAGGGCCTCAAGTCTACCGTAATTCTGACAGGAGGAGGCCTTCCGGCTTCTCTGAGGCAACTTTGCTAGGAAGTAGGAGGGTGGAGTAAAAGTTTTGAAAGAAAAGTCAGGGTCTCTTCCTTTTAGGGTCCCCTTCTGTCTGCTTTTGCAGCATGTCTCCCACAGGTCAGGCAGGACCATTACTTAGGCCTGGACCTCTGCATTTCGCATACTCACCAGATGTGCAGGCCTGAGGGTCTGTCAGCGAGACAGTTTTGAGAGAATTGTCCAGGAGCTACCATTTACTGAGCACGTCCCTGTGTACCTACCGTGCACTGTTCCATTGCCCTCAGAACAGTACTGAGAGGTGGCTCTTTGCTGCCATCACTGCTTTGAAGATGAAGTAACCAAGGCTGTAAGGGGTTAAGTGATTTTTCCGGGGATCAGCCAGCCAGTAAGAGGCAGAGCCAGAATCGAGACCTAGGCTTGTCCAAGTTAAAGCCCATTGTTTTACACTGTCCTTCCTCTAAGCCAGCAGTTCTCAACTTTTTTGCTCTTAGAGGTCCTTTATACTCTTAAAAATTGTTAAGGATGCCAACAAGCTTTAGTTTATGTGGGTTATATCTATTTACATTTTCCAGATTAGAAATTAAAAATTGAGAAATATGAAAATATTTATGCATTCAGAATTAACAATGATAGACTTGTGGCTTTTTGTTGTTCGTAAAAATTTTAGTGAGAAGAGTGGCGTTGTTTTAGTTACATACTTGCGAATCCCTTTAATGTCTGGCTTCATCAAAGGCTGTTGGATTCGCACGCCTGCTCTGCACTCAGTCGCCTGTGTCATCACTCATCTCGTAGCCTCTGGGACTCTGCACATCTATGAGAGAATGGAATTTTAAAAGGCAATAATGTCTTAGTATTATGAAGATAGTTCTGACCTTGCAGACCTCCTGAAAAGGTCTTGGGCACCCCCAGAAGCCCCCTCTCTGAAAACTTTCACTTAAGCTTTTTATTTGCAGAGAGGTGAATTTATGGATCAGAATGGTTCATTGAAGCGTCCCCTGGAGGGAGGCTTTTGGGCCCCTGGAGCTGAGGCTTCCATAGCTGTTTGGGGGATTTGGTGGGTAGGGTGAGTTCTTAGCATTGTCATAGTTACTGACAGGGTCTCCTTAGGAGTTTATTGGAAAGAAGAAATTTTGTGACTGTAGGAACCACACAGATATTCTCTTCTATACTCCTGTGAGCCACTGCAGTATGTTGAAAGTTCTAGCCTTGGTGCCTGCCTCGTGTCATGGATGCTCTCTGAAGTGGTGCAAAGGGCCATTGTCAGTGTGCCCTAATTTGTGGTTTGGAGACTGGTAAATGCAGTACAGGGCCATGGTGGCTACGATCTTGAACGTGGTTGCTTTGACTGGTGTGGAGATGGCCCAGTTCCCCGCTCTCCAGAGCTTGGCCTCTCCAGCCATTCGTTTGACCATTGCTGCCAGTGAGGAGCCTCCTGAATGGAAACCAGTGTGTGTGGTAGTTGCTGCACGTGAAGGCAGTGAGTAAATGTGCAAGTTTGCCGTTTTTAAGGCAAAAGCACTGGTATCTGTCATTCTTTGAGGCCTTGTTTTTTTCTGAGAGGTTACTTCATTCATGGGATGTTGATCGTCTCTGGACTGAACTGTTCACCCTCTCCTCGTAGGGAGGTATTTTTTCCCAGAGCAAGAGACCATTGGAGAGAATCTTTAACCTCTAAGGGGGAAAGGAATGTGGCCCTGTGCTGAGAGATTCCTGTGCTAATGTATCAACAAGGAATCCAATGGCCAACTGAAATGTGTAACCTGAGTTACTCTTCCTCTGGGTTTCTTTTAATCATTTAGGAAAAATAATAAAAACAGCAGCACATCAGAAAGCATTACAAGGTTTTCCTTGGCATCTCATGCTTTGTATAAGGTGCTGTCTTCAGGGTCATTGGGATAATCTGTCTGGTTTCCAGGGTAACCCTGAGTGGTGAGAGTGGTGGAAGGGACTCTTCGTGATGCCTCAGGTTTTTCTTGAGGTCTTGAGCGAGGGGAATGTATAGTACCTCGAAGAGAACTCAGATTTCAGGTGTAAGATAGAGATTTGTTCCTCCACAGACTCAGAGGTGGGTGAGGGCAGGAACTGGATGTGTGTGGTGTATCCCTGGCACCCAGCACAATGCTTGGCACCTAATAGGTGTGCAGATGACATTTATGTCTGGTTCAGATCCTCCATCAAGTTGTAAGTGTTGGAAATACTGACTTTTTCAGACAAAGCAAAGCAGTCTGAAAGATGTTTCAGATCTATGCATGTTTCATTCTTTTCTTTCTACTCCGTTTTTTTTCTCCAGTGACAAGAAAAGGAAGTTGGAAGCCAAACAAGAACCCAAACAGAAGAAAAAGTTGAAGAAAAACAGAGATATGAAGAACAAAAAAGATACGAAACTGAAGCGGAGGAAATAGCAGAGATAAATGTGGACCTCAGTTGGCGTACTCCTAAGGAGATAGCCTGGCTTCCTGAACCGTCCCTGGCTGGACTGGGTGGTGGCCTGATGGTTCAGAGCAGCCAGGGCTCCCCTCAAACCAGGAAGCCGGCCATGAATTCAGTCTATGGGCACATCCTTGGGTGGGCCGAGCTCAGCTTAAAGCTAAGTCACTCCCATGGGGAGGGGTCTGCTCAGGACTCAGTGGGTTGGGCAGACCCCTCTGGCACTACCAAGGATCCATCTCTCCTCTCCTACCATTGGCACCATTAGTTCATATTTTGCTCCAGACCCAACTTTTCTGGCTCGTTTCCACACGTGTGGAAACCACGCCAACCATTGTCCCTCTTCATGCCCTTAAGTACACAGCTTTCTGGTGAAGCTCGGGGCTGCTGCTGGACCGTTGGGTCTCTTGTCATGGACTTGTCCAGACTGAGCCTGCAGCCTGCAGCAGCAGCAGCTCTTCTAGCCAGGTGGTCATGTGGCCGCTGTTCCGTGCACATGGTCTGCTGATGCTGTGTCCATCCACTCCTGGCTCTAGCAGGCCCGCTGCCCCGTGTCCCAGAAGAGCCTGGGCCTTAATTTAAGTAGGCTGTGACTTCTGAGTTCCCAAGACCTATTACTTCATCAGCTTGAAAAAAAATGCTGGGAAAGCCCCCTTTGGCTAATAGGGCTGAAGGAGGGATATAGAATCTATTTTTAATAAACAACATCCAAGAAAGGCCAACTGCCTGTGGGGTTCATTAAATCCACGTATGTGGAAGTTGCACCTTGCCTTGTTTCTTCTGGTGGATCTTGGCTGCCAGATGGAATTTGGACAGTGTTGCTATCAAGGCCAAGGGTGGGCAGTGTGGCTAGGTCTGACTGACCACAAACTCAGTGGGGAAGTGGCAGCCACTGCTAGTGGCTTGGTGTGGTGGCTGGGAGCCAGCTAGCTCTCTGTGCTTCCTAACTCCTGCCAGGTCGTTTGGTCCCTTCCATTTGTTGGGGGCAGAAATTATCTGGTGGCTTAATGCATACTTTGTTACATTTGTTTGGTGGTATCCAGTTTCGAGTCCCAAATTCCATGCCACATCATTGAAATCATGGTCCTGAAGGTCCTCTGCTGGTTTCTGTGGGAACATTCCATCCAGGTCACATAAGTGCCAGAAAAGCACAAGGTGGAAGCCCGCTCAGGTGTGCTGGTTTCCATCTGCCCTCTTCCTGCCACAGCTGTGTGAGTGGGTGACCGTCTTTGTCAGCCTGGCTGAGTCAGTCTTCAGCTTATACTCTGTTTTTATCTGCAGAATTCAGGTGGCGACTTTGGTTACTCATCTGCCTTGGCTTTTTGCCCTTGGATTAAAGGATGGTCTTCTGTCCATAGAATCTTTCCCCAATCCTAATAATGCACTCCAGGTTTCTAGAAGTGTAGCACAAAGACAGGGAAGGAAAGGGGAGCTTCTGGACCAAAGGTATTAAACTTACAACTCCCAGGACTTGTCTCCAAAGGAGAAGAGCAAATTCTGCCTGCCTGTGCCTTGTCCCCAAGACTGTCAGGCCTGGGCATTTCCTAGATCTGCAGCTTCCTGCCTGCAGGCCCTCTTTTAAGTCTGCAGCAAAGTTCGCTGAGAGGGGAGCTGGAAATAATCTTTGATCTTTTTTCTTGGGGGGTGGGGGGAGGGGTGCCTGAAGCTGCCTTTCAGATAAGGGTTTTCTTAGGAGAATGTGACCAAAACCCAAAGTCAGGATCTCACATGGTCGGAGCTGGTTAGTAAAAGATTATCCAACCACATCGTCCTATAGGTGAGGAGCTGGGTCCAGCTAGGTGGCCCTTTGTTCAGTGTCTGGGCCCAAAGGGATGCTGTTCTAGGGTGGAAGGTAAGAGGGGCTCTGAAGCCTGACTGCCTGGTTTGTGCTGGATGTGCCCTGACCCTCAGTGTGGCCTTGGGCAAGGTCACCTGCCCTCCATGCCCACATCTGTAAAAAGCAAATGGTGGTAATAACACCTACTTCACATGGCCGCTGTGAGAATTAAGTGGTGTAGACTGTTAAGAGCTTAGACTGCTGTGTGTTGGCAAGTTGATTCTGACTCATAGCGACCCTATATGACAGAGTAGAACTGCTCCATAGGGTTTCCTAGGCTGTAATCTTCTACGGGAGTAGACTGCCAGGACTGCGCTCCAGAGCGCCTTAGACTAGTACCTGGCATACAGCAAATGGCCCACAGATCTCTCTGGGTTCTGGGGTGCTCTCGTTAGAGTATAGCCCGGAGAGCTGCTCAGTTCTACGTGAGTGCAGTCTTTACCTGAATAAGGACTGGCTTTGTTCTAAAGCCACAACCTGAGCTAAAACAAGAGTCCCATGTGGGCAGCAAAAAGCCTGCCCTCTGCAGTCAGAGCTGTTTGTTTGACTCCATTTCAGAGCTAGATATCCTTGGACAAGGCTCTTCTTAGCTTCTGAGACTCTCCATCTGCCCACAGAAAGCAAGCTACCGTTTCACCTACTGTGTGCAGCCCTGGCCCTTTTATTTGCGGAGTGTTCCTAAACAGGTCTCTTCATTTTACATCGTGACGTGCTTGTGTGTTCTCCAAACCCGAGGAAGCATGCCCTCCCCCAGACCTCACCATCTGGTCCCCAGACATAGTGACATCTGTAAAGCTCGGCTGGCTCAGGAAATCTCACTTGCGAAATGAATTCAGACAGGCTGGGTATGAATGCTGTCACCGGGAAGGGGCTGAAGGAGCCGAACAAAGAAGATTCCTAAATGGTCTCCATCACCTCACCCGCCTCCCAGCCAGGAGGGGGCTAATGCCGGCCTGCTTCAGTGCGTCCACTGCTCATCTGGCCCTGGCAGCCCCAGAGGACACTGAGTGACCTGGAGACTGACACAAAGGGGGCTGCTGCTGGGGGAGGGGAAGAAATAAGTGACTGTCACCTTGGAAAAATGTAGACTCATTATCCGAGGCCATTGCCACACCAGCAGGCGGGAGGAGGGGGGCGGGGCTGGGGTCCCCTCTGGCCTGAATAGGCAATTTCACACAGCAGGGATAAGGGAGGTGGAGCTGTGTGTGCCCTTGGTTCTATAAACAATTAGGTAAAGATGGATTCTCGGCAAACAGGGTGGGGGGTGGCCTGAATGGGAAAGGCTGGAGGCTTTCTCCAGTGCTTCTGCTGGTTCCGCTGAGCTAAAGCTGTGATGATCCTGGTGTCTGCTAGCAGGACGGAGGGCAGGGAAGGGTGACAGGCAGCAAGCAGAAAGCAAAAGTACCAGGAGAAGGAATGAAGGTCAGACCTCAGTGGGCCTCTGGCACTCTCCACACTGGAGAGGGGCTCCTTCTGGAGACAAGGCCCAGGCACCAGCTGCGGCAACGCTGGCTTGTTACTGCTGGAGGAGCAGCTGGAGAAGGATGGACTCCCTCGTATATAACGGATGCTTTCAGCCCGTTACCCAAGGGCTCCTCTGCAACCCCCTTTCCCCCTCCCCCGCCACCAAACAGAAAAATTCTAGTAACTCCATCTTGCGTTTTTGGCTGGGTGCCTGACTAGGGGAAAGGGGAGGGGCTTGTGAGGAGGTTGGACCTGGACCCCTGAGGGGTAGCTGCTCCAGAATGTGAGTGCTGGATGAGGGACAACCCCCCTCAGCCTCCTCCATAGGGACCCTGCACTGGATGATGGGGGCAGAGGAGTATGCCTTCCTCCCTGCGGCCCCAAGAGGGCGCTGTGGGCCCACGCAGCTCCACATCCCACCTGTGCAGGGCCCTGGGCTGGGCCTTCAGGTAGCCCTGCTTGGAGCCTGACCCCAGCAAAGCCTGGAAACAGGGCTTTTCCTGGGACTGACTCCATGAGGTCTTTGTGTTGCCCCCAACCCCCAAGTCCTGGCCTGCTGCTGGACCACAGCCACTAGGGGTCAGTGATTCCAGTGACCTCAGGAACTTCCCTTCCTGCCCTAGGCAGGAACATTTGTAAAACCTACATTTCTTCTTGGACTTTGCACCTGAAACAAACTACAGCCAGATCTCAGAAAACCCCTGGGCCTGAGTCACCACCTCCTTCCTCTGTGTCCTCTGCTAGTGTTCCCATGGTGGTGCACTGGGCTGAGCAAGGCCTGGGGACAGCACGCCCATAAGGACAGGTGGCCCTCATCAGCCAGGCCCCGCCCCCACCTCGGTGAGCCACATGGTTTTGGACTGTGTCAAGGGTTTGCAAGCATCTCCTAAGACAACACCAGCAACATAGCTCCCTCGTCAGCGGTTGTGGTGGGCCTGGGGCTTGAGAAAGCCGGCCTGACTGCTCTCCTCCCTGTCATCTGCTCCTGCTCTGCCACTAAAACACCTTTTCTGTCCAGCTCAGTTAAGCATATTAAGTGCTTAATAAATGTGTGACTTTAAGTCTTTGTCATCTATCTCATTTCACAGAAGAGGAAAACTAACGCCCAGCAAAGGAAACACTTGCTCCCTGCCACCTAGTAGGTAAGGGTTGGTCCAGGGTGGAAGGCCACAGTACAGCTGAGGCAGGGGGTCTTTTCTTAGTAACTCCAGAACAGGGCTTCGAACCGGTTCTTCCCAGTTCAGTCATGGCTGGGGAAGTGAGACCAGAACAGACCTGAATTATTAAAAATTGGGTGAACCAGAACAGTAACCTGAACGGGAAGAATTACAGTAGAAGCCCTGCTAGAAACCTAACCTCCCTCCTAGAAAACAAGGGCAGCGTGCTCATTGCATAGCAACCAGATCTCTGGCCCACTGAATTCTGAGCAGGGCCGGAAACAATGGTGCCCCTCAAAGATGGTGGTTGACCGCGCAGCTTTGAACATGTGTCGCTCTCTGTCCTGCCAGTAATCCAATCTCACACATCAGGCTCCTGAAAAGGCTCACTACACCTCTTCCAAGTCTCCCATTCCGGGGCTTCAGTACATAATTTCTCCCCTTCTGGTTACCTTTCCAGAGCACCCAAATTGTAAAAATTCGGTCTGTTCTGGTTTCGCTTCATGGGCCATGACTGAACTTGTTCAAACCGGTTCAAAGTCCTGCCCTGGAATCAGCTCTGGGTTCTCTTCCTGGCCCTAAATGCGTCCCACCCCAAGCTCTGAACTCTGGGCAACCCCCTCCCAGAAGCACCAAGGCTGAGGTCACTGTTAATGAGTATTTATTGTTAATAACACCATGGTACATTTACAATAAATGACAGCAGTAATGTACAGTTAAAGTATCATACAATATTACAGCAATAAAATAACGCCTGTTCCTTTGTACACCCAGCTCAAGTGGCTAGTCAAAAATATTTTCCAGGACTTCAAGCCTCCAGGGGCTTTTCAAGGTGATGGAAGTGACACCTCCTGAAATGCCCAGGGCTTTTGGTGAATAAATAGTTTCTAAGGTATGGCCAGACAGTGGCAGAAGGCTACACCAGGACAAGCTGTCCGTAACTCTCCCCAGTGTCTGGCCCATAAATAGGACAAGTGTCCAGGTTGGATGATGCGTCTCCACCCTGGAAGGGCCCACAGACTAGAAAGTGAGGGGGCAACAAGGGCGGGGCAAGCAGAAGGCCCTTTCCTCCCAGCCCTTCTCTTTCACCAACTCCCTGTCCTTTAGACCCCCAAGGCCCACAGCTCCCAGTGAGAAGTGTTTGCCCTACTTGGCTCTGTTTCGCTTGAGAGACTCAACCAGGGAAGATGTTTAGGGCTGAGTCTAGGCCTGAGGTTTCAGAACCGACCCCTTTACTTTGGCCTCTAAAAACAGCAGCGACAACAGAAGCTGAGGCCACTGAGTTCCCTGGGCTATGCCTCCTGTTGTCCCCTCCTTGGCTCAGGCAGAAAGCTCTGGAGGTGCTGGCTCGGCAAGTTGATGGTCCCTGTGAAAGGTCACCATAGGCCCTGACACCAGAGAAAACGGGAGGACTCAAAGTAACCCTCGGTGTGGCAGCACCAGATCCCCTAGAGACCCATCTGAAGCCTTCAAAGGTAGCCTTGAGGAATCAGACCAGGGATTTGGGCAGCATTTCTCATATGACATTTAGAAAAATACCAGCTTTTGAATTAAATGGCCTGGGGCCTACAGAGAATGGACATTCTAGACATTCATAAGGATGCCCATAACCCCAAGAGTCCCAGTTGGGACCAGTCTGAGCTTATGGAGGGCCTAGTGTGTACACAGCTTGCAGGGCAGGCTCAGAAGTGATTTAGAGCAGAGTTAGATCAGGATTGCTGCCTGCCTCCAGGAGGGGAGGAGGGCCCCCAGGGTGAGAGAGTATGGCAGCCCTCAAGCTGCACACATGGGTGGGGGGTAGGAGAGGGGGATGGAGGGAAGGGCCACCTTTGGCCACATCACCCCATGCCCATCGTTGGTTGAGCAAATGATTAGCTCTGGGCAGAAGGGCTGAGGGGGTGCTGCCTGGTGGTGGGTGGGTTCAGGGCACATCTACCTATCCAAGGGCAGACCAACCACTGGAGGAGCGAGCGTCTGGGGAAGGAGAGGGAGCTGAGCCCTATGAGCCTGGCTTCCAGAGGGCCTTAAAACAAGCTCCCACCCAGCCGAGCCCCCATCCCAGGCGCATCCACAGGCCCCAGCTATGAGCTGGTCCAGACGCACCCACCTGTGCTGCTCCTGGCCTTGGCATGCTTTCCTATTTCCTGGGAGCCTAGAAACAGAGCCACAGCCAGGGGCCCAGGGGTCTGCATGTGCTGCCCCCTCACACGCGGGAGGTGATGTAGACAGAGTGCACACGCTCGGCCAGGGTGTTCTGCAGATCGTGCAGCGGGTCCAGGCCCTGCACTTTGCTGCTGCGCCCATAGATGAGCTGCCGGAAGGAGTCCTGCTCCAGCAGGGACTTCATGTGCTTGAGGAAGAAGCCTTCGCAGAACAGGGCCAGTTCTGGGGCGTTGTGGATCTGCGGGGCAGGCAGAGGTGCCGTTGAGGCCAGCAGTCTTAGCACAGTCCCACCTGAAACTGCCCGGCCCACCCTCTCCCCCAGATATTACCCATGGGCCAAGGCCTGGTTTAAGCCTCACCCAGCAGGAGGTGTTCCCCTGTCTGCATCTTGAGCAGATTTCCCCTTATCTGAATCCCTCCTCTAAGATTTCCTTGCAGTTGAATGGATCTAGGCTCAAACCCCAGCTGGGCCACCAGAAACGTTACTGAAGTCCTGTCCTTGGCCCACATCATTTTGCCTGTGTCATACTGGTGATGGCTTTGTTGAACGGCTGTCCTCCTCCCTGGATTGGGAGCTCCGTCACTAGGGGCAGGGACAGGGGCTGACCCCTGCTGGGTGGCCAGGCCCACACAAGGCCCAGCACCCGTGTTCTCACGTGGTAGATGCTCAGTAACTAACTCGACTAACACTGCGTGCCCCTCTGTGCCAGGCTCTGAGGTCACGGTCTCTGCAATGCTCTCCTGGGGCTGATGTTCCAGGACAGGGAGGCAGACGGATCCCAAGGAATCACGTTAACCCCAGGTGACTGCAGCCTGGGATCAGTGCTGGGAAGGAAAAAGTGTGGGAAGTGGTAGAGTGACAGGGTGGGCAGGGGGCCCGGTGACACCGAGCTGAGACTGGGCCCGCAAGGAGCTAGTCTTGCGAAGAGCTCAGAACAGAGCTTTGCAGGAAGAGGCAGTGGTTTTCACCAGAGTCCTGGGGTGGGAACCAGCTGGGTGTGCTGAGCACTAGGACACAGGCTGGTGTGGTGAGGGAAGCGAGAGGGAGGCAGGAAAGAGGGGGTGCAGCAGGACCCTGGGCCTGGAAGCACAACACGGGGCTGGGTTTTATTTAGTATGCATGCAGTGGAAACCTGTGGAGGGTCTATGGAGGGGAGGGTAATGGTCTTTTGCACTTTTAAAGAACATTCTGGATTGCAGGGCCAAAGCTGGCAAGTGGGGAGGCCAGGCTAACAGTCATCTAAGGGATGATGGCAGCCTGGAGCAGGGCAGGGCAGTGGAGCTGGAGAACAGCAGAGAGACTGATGATGCAATGCAAGGGTGGGAGGCCTAGATGTGGACGATTGAAAATAAAGTCAAATATGATGCCTAAGTTCTGAGTCTGAGCAACTGGGCAGATGACAGTGCCAATGGCTGAGATGGGGAAGACTGAGCGGGGCGGTGTGGGGAGAAGATCAGGTGTTTGTGGCTGTGGAACTGATTTGACTCAGGGAGGCTCAGGTGCTCTCACCCAAGGTCCCATGGCCGAGGTGGCAGAGAGGGAGTGTGAACCGGGATCTACCCAGCTCCAGAGCCCCATTCCTGAGCTGCCACAGGAGCTCCCAGCCCTTCCTCAGCCCACACTTCTTCTCAAAGCCAGCTGGCCACCTGCACTTTCTCAGCCTCTCAGAGCGCCCGCGAGGGGTCCCAGGCCCAGTGGGAAACACCCGCGGCCTCACCTTGGCATACTTGTAGGTGCTCACAGCACTCTCCACGCTGATAGTCTGGGAGCACAGGATCTCGCAGTGCCGCTGCAGGGCATCAAGCTGGAACAGGCTGGCCGCGGACAGCAGCTGCGGGAAGGAGGCAAAGGGCCTTGGGTGCTGGGCCCACGGATGGGCCTCGGCCGGGCATTGTGGAACAGAACGCCTCAGGGGGCCTCGGGCCCTGCTTCCTCCAACCACACCAGGAACCAGCCCACTTGGTGGTCAAGCCCAGGAGGGAGAGACGCTGGCTCACTTCCTTTTGCTCTAGGCATGTGGGGCATTTGAGGGGACACAGGATGGTGACAGATGCTGGCTGGGATGTATGGCCAGTTGAGAGAGTCACCCAGATGGAAGCGGGGCCATGCTTTATGCAGGGAAGGGGGGAGCCCAGCCCCATTCTGATCCTCTTGGGCCTGGCCGTCCCCACTGGGGCATCCATCTCTGATCCCCTGGGAGTGGTCCAGGAGGCCGCGGCTCACTGATGTACATCACGCCCTGGTCTCTCAGAACTGCCCTTCCTGCCAGATGAAGAGAAAGGACCTGGCTGGGAGCCATGCAGCCCTGCAGAGGCCATGCTTCTGCCTGCCCTTGTCCCTCCAAACGCTGCATGTCTGAGAGCGGGGGAGAAGCCTGGCCGTTGTCTAGGGCTGGAGAGACATGGGTGCAGAGTAAAGGGGGGATGTGGACATCTGAGGGGGGCTCCCTGCTCCTCTCCCTTCCCAGTGCCAAGTGAACCCTGAGCCAGATGCTCACCTCCAGGATGTCAGCCGTGGGGATGTCCATGGACTCTGTTCCCCCGTAGTACAGGTATTGCATCATCATCTGCAGCAGGAAGAGGCCCGTGAATGCCAGGCGGACCCTAGCACGGAGTCCTCACCTGGCCTTCCCACCCCTCAGCATGCTGACATCTGCAGACCCCCCACTCAACACTGGCTTGCACCCCTACTCTATCGTGCTCAGGCTGAGACTTTCCCTCAAATGCCACATCTGGAAGTCAGCTCCAGGGTCCCCTCTCCCATCTCCCTGCGTGTAAAAAGCACACGACAAGCTTCCTTTCAGGGTGCTTTCATTTTGATCCTCCTAACAATCCCAGAGGCCTCTGGGTGTCGAAAACGGTTTGTACTTCCCTGCTAATCTAAAAGTTGGTGGTTTGAACCCACCCAGCCATGCTGTAGAAGAAAGTCCTGGTGATCTGCTTCTGTAAAGATTATAGCCAAGAAAACCCTCTAGAGCAGCTCTACTCTGTTACATATGGGGCCATCATGAGTCAGAATCAATGATGGCAGTGAGTTTGGTTTGGTGTTTAACAACCCTCATGAGCCCAGGAGAAAAGACACTATTCACAGATGGGGAAGCTGAGGTCCAGGGAAAGAAGACCCCTTGGTGCAAATCACATGAGCCCCTGACCGCTCACGCTGGTGCTCCTGCATTACACCAGGCACCACACTGCTCATGGCACTTTTTTACCTAAATTCTCAGCATGGGGCCAGGAGGGGTGGGTCTTTGAGGACGGCTGCCTCACTGGTTCTCCCCGGACGCCCGGCCCCGACTTCTCCTATCTGCTCCAGGCTCTGATGTGGAGGAAGAGAGAGCCATGATCCTGACACCATGCTGGGCTCTGCCCCCTTAGAAGGCAAGCGTGGAGCCCAAGCCCAAAACTGCCCCTGCGGCCCGAAACCACCTTGCTGACTGGCCCAGATGAACCTGGGGCTCTCAGGAGCTCGGGGCCTGGGATCTCAAGCAAGGTGCTCTGGCAGGGGGAACTAAATTGAGCGCGGCTGAGGCCTAAGTTACGTACACGCTGCCATACATTGGAGCCTAGTAAGGTTCCCAGTTGGAAAAATAAAAGCAGTTCTCTCTGGTTGGCTAAAGAAACAGCCCCAGCAAGGAGCTGGCAATGGTGCTCGAAAACGTGGCTCCAACAGGCACAGCAGGGCTGTGTTGGAGCCAGGCCCTCCCTCCAGCTGGAGGAGGCACAGAGGGCCTAGGGGAGGAGGAGGCCAGGGCAGCTACAGCTCCTGCAAGGCCCAGGCCGCTCCCTGGGAGACAAGGGAACAGCTTCTCCACCAATAAATGGGGTTCCTACTCCAGAAAGCCCTCGAGTGTCCTGGCCAACTCAGCTGCTCCCCGCAAAGGAGATGGAGACACTCACAGTCCTTCTGCAGCCGCTGCTGGAGCTTGTATAAAACAAAACAAACCAGTTGCTGTCGAGTCAATTCTGACCCATGGCAACCCCATGTGTGCAGAGTAGAACTGCTCCATAGGGTTTTCGAGGCTGCCACCTTTTGGAAGCAGATCGCCAGGCCTTTCTTCCAAAGCATCTCTGGATGGATGTGAACCACCAACTTGTTGGTTAGTAGTCCAAGCGATTAGCCATTTGTGCCACCCAGGGACTCGGAGCTTATATGAGCCTCCGTCTGTCGCTGCAGGTAGGAAGTGCCTCTGGTGGGGCCCACACCTTGGCCCTTCCTGCCCTGTACTGGGCATCAAGTGGGTGCTCTGGATAGCAGCAGCAGGAGCCCTGGAGTCAGACAGGGCAGAGGCACAGATGTGGGCCTGGAATGCCCCTCACCAGGGTTGGGAGTGGGGTGGTCAGATCTCCCAGGAGTCTGCTGAGGGATGGTCTCGGAGCAGCCCCTGGGTAGAAGGGAGCCCAGGGGCCTGGGCCAGGGAAATGGTGGTGGCAGCCCGCAGCTCTCCTTCCTGGTCTGGGAGGCAGCCTCCCATTGCATCTGGGGAGCAGGTTTGGCAAGCCCTAGCCATCTGCAGTGCCTCCCTGAGGAGCCCTGGTGGTACAATGGTTAAGCGCTGGGCTGCTCACCGAAAAGTCGGCGGTTGGAACCCACCAGAGGCTCCACGGGATAAAAGACCTGGTAATCTGCTCCTGTAAAGATTACAGACTTGGAAACCCTATGGGGCAGTTCTATTCTGTCCTATAGGGTCGCTATGAGTCAGAATCTACTCAATGGCAAACAACCACCACAGACGTCAGACCAGGATCACTTGCTTGGAGCCTCATTTAGGGAGGGAGGCAGGCAGGCAAGGGTGAATTCACTTTGCAAGGCCTAGCTGCCCCAGGTAAGCTGCAGCCATCTACCTCCCAGAGTAGCCAGCCTTTGGGGCAGCAGCTCGAGGAAAGGGAAGGCCTCAGGCAGGACCAGCTGGAGAGGGCATGGGGTTTTCTTCTGCCCTGCATAGGACACCAGGAACTAAGACTACAGGGAAGGCATGAGGGACTGCAGGGACAGGCCTGGGGTCTGAGCAAACCAGTGTGGCATGGCAGGGCCCCTGGGCTACCCCCTCTTCCCCCAAAGGACTGGGTTTCATCGAAGGTGACCTTGGCAAGCCTCTAGACCTGCACTGCCCAATACAACCGCCACTCGCCTCACGTGGCCTTTGACGTGTGAACTGTGGCTGCTCTGCACTGAGCCGTGCTGTGTCACTCACATGCTGGATTTTGGGCACTCAGTATGAAAAAAAGAATGTAAAATATCTCGTTTTTATATTGATTACATGTGGAAATGATAATATTTTGGCATCTTGGGTTAAACAAAATACACTATTAAAATTAATTTCAGCTCTTTTACTTTTTTAACGTGGCCACTAGAAAATTTAAAATGACATGTGTGCCTCACATCATCTTTCTTTGGGACAGTGCTGCTCTGGATCTCGGGGTCTGTTTCCTCCTCAGAAAACAAGGACAATAATGACCCCCTCCCTTCCTCCCTGAGACACGTGGAACCTCCTTGCGGTAACTAATTCAGCCTTTCAGTCCTGGTTCCTGAGTGCAGGGCCACACCTGAGGCCAGTGAGTGGGATCAGCTGGGGGCCGATGGTGACTAAGCCTCAGGAGGCCCGTGCTTAGGCCAATAAAGGCCTTGGAAGAGGGCGGCTTACTGGAGCCTTGGAGTTGGAGAGTGAGAGAACTTCCTGCTCTGTGGCGTGTAAGCACGTCCCCTGGGGACACTGAAGCTCTGCTGAAGCCCCTCTTGGACCTCGTCCTTCCTGTTTGTATCCTTTTTCCTTCTGGATTAAAGACAGGCCTTTCCCTGCAGATTGTGAGTGGTTCCGACAGATTATTGGATCTAAGAAACAGAAGGGACTGGTGCCCCCTGACCTGGCCCTGGGTAAATGTGGATGAGAGAGAGAAGAGGCCCGTGCCCAGTGCCCCAGCCCTGCGTGGCTAGGAACGGACCTGGACTGACCAGGGCAGGAAGCTGACATTGTCCTGGGCTGGTTTGATACTACACTCCCTTTCAGTGCTGTGTGGGCCAACAAGGTGCTTGGGGGCTGCTCTGAAACTTTTCAGCCCTCTTAGGGAGCCCTGGCCCTGGAGGGTGGCCTGAGGCTGAACCCTCCAAGGGGAGCCGATGTCCAGGGATTCCATGTGAAGTGAGGCTCCCAGATAACAGCAGATTTCTGTAGTCAGAGGACACACAGGGCAAGGCCGGAGCCCTGGGCCAGGTCTGCACAGTCGGCCCGACTTGGTGGGTGGCCCAGGGGGCAGGGAGGCACTAACATGCTATGGATGTCAGAGCTGTCACCCATTTATGCCCCCCAACAGCCCTGAAAGTCATCAAGGGGCTGTAACCCTGTTTTTGGCCAGGATATCCACCCCCTGACCCAGCTGATGAACTGCCCCTGATGGGCAGCTGGGCCCTTTCTCTCTTGGGTCAGTGGTCACCCCACATCCACACAGATGCACTCACTCCCCACTCTCTGCCAATCCCTGCCACTCTTCTTGGACCTGCCTCCCACATCTGAGTCTGACCCCACCTCATGCTCCATCTCACCTGGACTTTTCCCTTCTTAGCCAAACAAGATTTGAGAGCTTCCCTGCTCCCTGTGAATTTTGATCGAAGGGTGGGGGAAGAGGGAAGGGGAGGTACCACCAGCCTCCCTGTTGCCTACACCAGAACCTGGGCCTCACACCCCCGCCCCATCAGTCACCTCCACTCTACCTGGCTGGCGTCCTCCCATCCCACTGGCACGACCTGGTCCAGGTTACCATCATCACTCAGCTGCACTGCTCAACAGTCTCCTAACTGGCCCCCTGGCTCCAGTCATGCCCCCTCCAATCCCTCCTCTCTCTCCAGATTGAGCTTTCTAAATGCAAACTCTACTACTGCATACATTCTGGATTTGAATCCTGGATCAGTTCCTAGCTGCGTGACCTTGGGCAAATTACTCAACTTCTCTTGTGTCTCTGTTTCCTCATCTACATACGTTGTTATTGTGTGCCGCTGAGTCAATTATGACTCATAGTGACCAGACAGGACAGGGTAGAACTGCCCCACAGGGTTTCCTAGGTTGTAATCTTTACAGGAGGGAGCAGAACGCTGGGTCTTTTCTCCCGCGGAGCTGCTGGTGGATTTGAACCACCAAGCTTCCGGTTAGCAGTTGAGTGCTTAGCCATTGTGCCACCAGGGCGCCTTCACATCCTAGGATTGTGCTGTGAGGATTAAATGAATAATAGTTGTAAAGCACCTTGGACCAAGCCTGGCTAAGCCAGTTTTAGTGATGATGATGATGTTGTCCTTCCGCTGCTTAAGTCTCAGTAGTTCCAGTTGCGTACTGGTTGTTCTTCTGAATGTTTGCCCAGACTAGACTGGAGGGCGTTTCTTGAACATGTATGGTCTCTGGCTTCTGGAGCTTTACATGTGCTGTTCCCTTTACCTGGCTAACTCCTCCTACACCCTGAGATCTCAGCTTAGCTGTCACTTCCTCCAGGAAGCTTCCCTTGTCTCCCTACATCTGGGTTAGAGGCCCCTCTCCTTGGCTCTCATAGCCCCCCGTCCTCCTCCCCTCCACAACACACTATGTCATGGTCCTGTCTCCTCAAAGGCAAGGTCCTTGTCCTATTCACTGCTGTCTCTTTATCACCCAGAGTCCTAGGTGGTGTGTATGGTTAACGCGCTTGGCTGCTAACTGAAAAGTTAAGAGATTCAAGTCCCCCCAGAGGTGCCTCTGAAGAAAGGCCTGGTGATCTTCTGAAAAATCAGCCATTGAAAACTCTGTGGAGCACAGTTCTATTCTGACACACACGGGGTTGCCATGAGTTGGAATCAACTTGATGGCAACTGTATTTTTTTTCCCCTCCACAGTACCCATCACTATGCCTGGAATATAAGAGGTACCCGATAAATATTTGCTAAATAAATAACTACAGAGAGCATGAGAGGGGAACGATGGCATCTTAGAAGATGGTTCTTGGGCCTCTGTGAGACTCTAGATTCTGTGATGTTCCCACTAGATCACAACCTCTCCTGGGCAAGGTGAGGTCCAGGACCACCTACTAGCGGCCCCATGGCCTCAGTCCCAGCCCCTAAGGCTCCACTCTGCAGCCCCGAGTCCATCCCACAGCCTGGAGACCTGCTGTTGCCGTCTGGACCGCTCTGTTCAGTTACTAGAGCTCAGGACCAATGAGACAGATCTGAAGCTATCATCCCACATCAGGAAGGCTGGCTTTGCACAGGGAAAACCCTGGACACTCTAACTTGATCACTATTCAGCAAAGACACAGAGGGCGTTGGGGGTGGAGGGAAGATTATGACCAACTCAAAGCTGTCTCCCCACTGCCTCCAACCTGCTCCCAAACCCAGATAGACACAGGCAAGGGTGGGGCTCCCAGTGGGAGACTCGCTCCTAGAAGGGTGCTGCACACCCGAGAGTCACACACCTGGAAAATGTGGTACTTCATGTCGCTGATCTCAATGGTCTTGCTGCTGTCGCCATCTTGCTCTGATTTATTGGTCATCAGGGTCTTAAACCTGGAGCGGAGGAGACAGGACAAAGCAGGTGCTGAGTGTGACTTCCATTCCATCACTGTGGCTGTGAAGGCCCCATCCGTCCCCGGACTGGTGACTGGGAGATGGTGCATTTAAAAATTACTGCCATGCTCCCAAAATAATTCTCGCAGAAGGACATTTTACATCACCCTGGGCTGACAGCTGGGCCAAGCCTAGTCTCTTCCTGGCTGCCCTCCACATGCGTGACCATGATGCCTGTGTATGGAAAACTGACTCCTACTTCCAGAATATTTGTCGTCTAACAATCAAAAGCAATAACTAGACCAGAACGAATAAAACCTCAGTGCTTGTCATTGAGAACGCTAGGTCCCATTCCTACGTCTCCCCTGTGTCAATTCTGCTTAATGTCCTCCTGTGGGGATGGTGGGGGCTCTGTTGATATGATCACAGGCTGAGGGGTAGGGGCTGCAGGGGTTGCTCTCAGCTCCAGCCTGCTGCTCTTCTCCAGCAAGTCTATCACCTGGTATCCAAATTTTTCCATTGCCCTTAACAGAAACTCAGTGGCCCCTAGGCAATGACTCCCCCTGTCCCTCCTGGTAACCACGAATCAACTTTGGTCTCTATACATTTGCATATTCTAGATATTTCATATATGTGGAATCATATCCTATTTTTCCTTTTGTGATTGACTTTTTTTCACTCAGCACAATGTTTTCAAAGTTCACCCATGTTGTAGCATTTATCAGGTCTTCCTTTCTCTTTATGGCTGAGTAATATTCTGTTGTATGGACACACCACATTTTGTTTATCCATTGTTCTGTTAATGGACACCTGGTTTGTTTTCACCTTTTCGCCATTGTGACTAATGCTGTAATGAACGTTGATGTACATGTGTCTGAGTCCCTGCTTTCAATTCTTTGCGGCGTATACTGAGGAGTGGAATTGCTGGGTCATGTGGTAATTCTATGTTTAACTTTTTGAGGAACCACCAAACTGTTTTCCACAGCACTGCACCATTTTACAATCTTACCAGCAACAGATAAGGGCTCACGACTCCAGGGGTTGGGATTTTGTTATCCAAGGCTGCTTACCTGTTGGACGCTGTCACCAGCAGGACTTTGTGTGCGTAAAACAGCTTTCCTTCCACTAGGAAGGTCACATCCGACATCTCCTTGTTGTTCAGAAAGTGAGGATCTGTACAAAACGGGAAGAAAAGGATGTAAAATGACTGAAGATTCAGTCACGAGTCCTTTATAAGCTGGCTGAGAGGGGTGTGGGTGTGGGGTTCTCACTCATAGCAACCCTATAAGACAGAGTAAAACTGCCCCATAGGGTTTCCTGTAATCTTTGCAGGAGCAGATCACTGAGTCTTTTCTCCCGCAGAGCTGCTAGTGGGTTCCAACCACCGACTTATCAGTTAGCAGTTGAGCGCTTAACCATCGTGTCACCAGAGGGTGTGCAGTACAAAGGGAAAAAAGAGAAACTGAGGCGAGGGCTTTCGCATTTGGAAATGGGAAAGGAGGACAAAAATAGGAGAAAAAGGAAGAGAGAATAGGGAGCAAAACCAGGAAGTCTGTGTGGGGAGGGGGCTGAGGAGAGAAGGGGGCAGGCTGGACGGCACCCTCACCTAGTCTGGCGGGCAGGGTCTTCCGGATCTCAGGGATGCTGGGGATGGGGCTGCTGCCATAGCAGTGCGTGAAGATGGCGGCCAGCTGCTGGATGACAGAGTCGTTCTGTGGGGGAACGGGCAGAGAAGGCCGTTAGCCCGCCCCCTGTGGCTGTCAGTTCACAGCTGCAGATATGTCGTCTCACAAGTCAGGCCAGGATTAGGGCAGCTGCCGTCCTTTGCTCCTCCTGGATCTAGCTTGGCAAGAAATGCCAGCTCCTTCTTAACTGAGTCCCCAAAATGGCTTTCTGGCTGGGCTCCAGCCCCACAAACCCAAGGTCTCTGCCCTCTGCAGCCAGGCAGTCAAGTCTGGTATTGAGGGTGGGCGTCTGTCTGTATATGGGGGATGTCCACGCGTCTGTGTGTGTCTGTGTATGGGTGTCCATGTGTCTAACTGCTTGTGTGTCATCTACGTGTCAGTCCGGGTCTGAGTCAGGGCTGTGGCTCTGGGGCCGGCAGGGGAGCTGCTGGTTGGCACTCACTTTGCTGGTCTTGAGGATGTCGAACATGAGCTGCAGGCCCTCGGTCACCAGCTCCTCGTTGTACTCCTCCTCTTTGATGGAGCTGAAGTCCCGCAGGAGGCTCTGCACCACGGAGTACCGTGACTGTGAGAAGGAGGTCCTCAGAGACTCAATCCAGACATGCAGCTTCCAGGGAACACCTGGGCCCAGGATGGACAGGCAGTTAGTCACCCTGCAGAGCGCTCCCCGCAAGGACACACCCTGCCCACACCATGCCGACCCCTTTAGCGCTCGATGCCCCAGTCTCTGCCACACCCATCCACCCTCAAGCTGCCTTCCTGCACACTGGGCGCCCTCTCAGTGTGGCATGTGGAGAGAGCTTCAAGTCACTCTCTCAGGCTTCGCTGACAGGGCAGAGGGGACCTTCCATTCTAATTAGACGAGGGGGATGGATAGCTTCAGCCCAAGCTCAGGGAACCCCAGCTCTGAACACATACAGCTGAGCCTGCGGGCTTTCAAGGGGCCCAGTGCTCACACTAGTCCCACTGCCTGTTGGGCCCTGGAATTCTTTGCTGGGCAGGACCTGTTCATTCTGGAGAGATGGCCAGGTAGACACAGATGCCCAGGAAATATGCAGGACACACGGCCCCCACCCTGGCCTGAAGTCTGAAACGAGCCCCATTCCAGAAGGGCTTTCCCTGCACCCAGCTCATGGGCAGGCTAGTCCACACCAGTGGGTATAATTACTGCTTACCACTTCCCCAAGTGTGTCAGTGGGGACTTTGGGTAGTTTAAAGTGCGTTGCAAAGTCCATGACTAAAAACTAGTAATACTCCTGGCAATTAGATCTTCTTACCCCCTCAGCCTCATTGTGGATTAAAGAAGCAATGAATGGCATTCCCCAGGGGCACCGCAGCAGAGGTGGTTGTTAGCATCCATGTCACTGGCTGTAGGTGGTTGTAATGTCCCCATTTTATGGCAAAGAACACTGAGGCTGACTCCCTCTGTGACCTCCTGCTCTCTTGGCCTAGCCCTGGGGGTTTTTGTGTTGTGGCCCCCTGATAATAACAACGTAGCTCTCACACACTGAGGACTCACAGTGAGCCAGGCCCTATGCTCTGTGCTTTACGTGACATCGTCACATTCTTCCTAAGTATCATCACCACCAAACCCATCGGAGAGATGAGGGAATTGAGACTCAGCAATTATGTGACTTGCAGCTGGGATCTGACCCAAGTCTGTCTGTCTGTCTGACTAGACTCCCAGGAGGACAAGAAAAGTATATAGACTTCCAGACCCAAGGAGAGAGAGGCCAGTCAAACAACAGGAAAGCATCTAGTTGACCAGAAAAGACGTGGTGACTCACGGTGCTATGAATCCCTATGAATGCCATGACACTGACCAGAGACGGCGGACAGACTGAGGACAGAGGGCTAGGAGATGACCTCACTGTTGATACTGCCTGAGGCTCAGGGCATCTCCTGCAAGTGCACCCAGCCAGGGCGTCAGACTTGAGGCCTGGATTGGCCGAGCCACTGCCCTGCACTCGGCCTCCCTTTGGCCTGTGTGGCCCTGGCCCTCTTTGGACCTGCTGAAGAGCAGCTCAGTGTGTATAGGGGGAGTTGGGCTGTGTGGCCTCACCCAGTGCCCTCAGCTCCATGGTGATGTCCACGTAGCCATGCTCAGCGCTGTAGTACATGGCCTCCTGCAGGGCCTTTGTGCGGGTTCGGCTCAGCCGCACAGGCCCCTCGCTGCCACTGCCCTGGCTCGACGCGTCGCTCTCCTCCACACCTTCGGCCAAGATCTCTTCCAGGGACAGCACATCCGCTTTGGCCTGCTGCGGCTGTGTTAGGAGCTTCCTCAGGACATTCCTGTGGGCCAGGGTGGAAGGAGGGTGAGGCCAGAGGTCCCCACGATGGGTGGGGCCCACGGAGCTGCCTCACAGTGCCCCCACAGCAGGCTATCACTCCAAGGGCTGGTGGTCTTCCCACACGGGTAGACCAGGCCGGGGCTCCCAGCAGCCCCATCCCAGACCTTTGGGCAAGACAAGGCCAGGTGCAGGAGACCTTTCCTTCAGCATCCTAGTCTTGCCAAGAAATCCCAGGCTTTGGCTGTGTGACCTCAGACAGGTATCTGACCTCTCTGAGCTCTGACTGCAGCCTCATTGGCAGCTGCAGAGCTTCAGCATCACCTCCCGGGTTAATGTGAGGCTAATGCAAAGGCATTAACTGCAGGGCCACACCCACAGCAGTTCCTCCTAATGTGGCCCTTTTATGCATGTGAAGTGTCTGAGAGTCCTGGGTGGCGCAACAGTTAAACACTCAACTATTAGCTGAAAGGTTGGCAGTTCAAACCACTCGGAGGCACCATGGAAGACAGGTCTGGTGATCTGCTTCTTGAAAATCCTACGGAGCAGTTTTTACTCTGTACACATGGGGTCGTCATGAGTTGGAATTGACTTGATGACAACTAACAACAATGACAGTGTCTGAAACAAGATATGCTTAAAACAAACAGAAAAAAATAAAACCCATTGCTGTGGAGTCGATTCTGACTCATAGCGACCCTACAGGACAGAGTAGAACTACCTCATAAGGTTTCCAAGGAGTGGCTGATGGATTCGAACTGCTGACCTTTTGGTTAGTGGCTGTAGCTATTAACCACTGCACTACCTGGGCTCCAAGACATACTTAGTAAATGCTACTTTTTTCCTCTTCCATTAGTGAGGATGAGGACTGCATAGAACTGCACGCTTGACAGAGCATGTTCCCACTTGCATGTCCCATTAGCCCTTGGAGAGACCCCCTCAGCATCACATTCACAGGTGATAGGGACATCTTGCCCAAGGTCCCACTGGCTGGCTGGCCTGCAGACTCAAACCCAGGACTGGCTCCAAGCCCCAGGCTGGCTCTGTCACACCCCAAGGCCTGGGGCTCTGAGATGGTTGTGGTTACAGGCAGGCCCAAGGTCACCCTGGGTGCTGAGCCAACTGTGCCCCCTGCTCCATCTCCCCCCACACCACTGCCTGTGAGGGAGGCCTGGCTGGGCCGTGTAGCCAAGCTCATGGCCCAGGTCATCACAATGGGCCAGCTGACACCAGCTCCTCCCCATCAGTTTATGTGCTCGTTTGTTGTGCTTACAGAGCGCAGAGCTCTTAGTTTGTTCCAGACACTAGGCTGTGGTGGGGAAATGGACACAGTCCCTGCCCCAGAGCCTCAGCTCCAGAGAGAGAGAGGTAGATGGACAGACAATTCCAAGCAGGGTGATGAGGCCCCACGGGGATAAACCCAGGGTGCTGATGGGGTAAGGAGGCCGAGAGGCAATGGCATGTAAGATGGCCCCCAAGTCTGAGGCTGACTTAGGCAGATGGACATGGGGGTAGGGCTACTGGGTGGCAGAAGGTACAGAGGAGCTTCTGGGGAGGAGCCACAGGAGGCACACACGACTGGGTGTGCAGGGGCTGCACGTGGGCTCCTGTCTGCCCTTTGTCTCCAGCCCCTCTTCTGCCTTCTAGTAACCTCTTCTCTCACTTCCCTTTGCCCCCAGTGCTGCTCAATGGCTCTGGCTTCACCCTCTGCTGCCCGTCACACCCACCGGGAAGGCCTGGCCCCCACAGAGCAAGGCCCGCCATCCTCTCTGGGAGCGGGTCGTGGTTTACAGCAGAACTGCCAGGACCCTCTTCATGGTAGGGCCATATGCTGTGTGGAAGTCCCAGGAGCGCCAAGCATGGGGAGGGGCGTGGTCCTGAGGCAGGCCCTGGGCAGCTGCAGAGCAGAGAGTCTCACGGGGAAAATGGGAGGGCCTGCCCTGGGCATCAGAGACCCAGGCAACAGTCCTAGGTCTGCCTGGGACCAATGTGGGGCTTCACTAAGCACCACTGTCCAGATCTAGGAAATGGAAGGATGGCCAGATCAAGGAAGATAAATCAGTTTCATCTTGTAGGCAGTGCCAGTGTACTCTTAAGGACTCTGACACCACAGCTCAGTTACTGGGAGAGTGCGGAGATTGATGCGTGATGTCTGCCAAGGGTGTGGGATGGGGCAATGGTGGCATTTGCTGTCTCTGGATTAGATCCCTGAGAAGATTCTGTCTAGCTCTATGTTCTGCATTTTCCTCTGCCAGAGCCTCAAGGACGTGCCATTCTGTTGGAGCAATGCAGACACAGCTAGGGACAGCCTGAGCCAGACACAGAAGGAAAGCCAAGTTAGAACATGGCCTGGGAGGATAAGCTCTGGCCCCGGGCTTCTGCACAGGTCTCTGAGGAAACAGCTTATTTTTAGAAACCACCTCTGTATTCAGCTGGAGCAGGAGTGTGGGAAACAAGAGGCTTTTCCACTGTGGCCTTTCCCTCTGCCCCTCCTCAGGGCACCACTGGCAACAACCAGCCACTGAGGAACTTAGCAAGAACTCATGTCCCTCAACAGTCCTTGTGGTCCTGGGGAACCCGAGGCCCGGTCAGTGTGGCTCCAGGCTTGGAGCACGGCTAGGAGGAGCCAGGCCTATTTTGCTTATGACCAGCAGCTGAGCTAGCTCTGCACAGATCCCGGGGGAGACCAGGGGAACCTGTTTGTTCTCCTTTAAGCCTGGAGAGCCTCTCTCTGTGTGTCTCCACTGCAGCTCCTCCCGAGCCCCGCCTCCACAGGTGAGAAACAGCCTTAGACCCGTCCTTGTCTTCTCCTCCGCTCTGCTGCTTAGGAGCGGTTTCCCCCAGTGGTCACCTGGGTCTACTTCGGCCGCCTGGAGGAACAAGGGCCTAGGGTCTTTCATGGACCAGGACTTTGCTCCCTAATTCTCTGCCATGCTGCCTCTCCTCCACTCCGCCATCACCCCGAAGAGAAAGGGTAGAAAAATTCCAAACAGGAATATGGAGAATTCCCAAGATCGCTACCAAGGGAACCATGGCCCCAGCAACGGAGGACTCGGCTGCTTCTCTCTGGGAGCGAGGAGAAGTGGGCTTGGTTTGAGGGTAACCACAGCAAGCCCCCCTGTGCCCCCAGGCACACTTGTCATCCACCTCTGCACTCTTGCACAGCCTCTCCTCTCTCCCTGAAACACCTGCCCCACTCCATTGTCTGGTCAAACCTATTCCCCTTTAAGGCCCTGTCCAAGCACCACCTCCTCCGGGGAGCCCTCCTTCATCATAGATTGAAACTGTCAGTAGACGCATGTCTCCCCTTCTAGGCCGTGGGCTCCCTCAAGAAAGGGGCTGTACCTCTTCAGGACCTCTAGTGTGATGTATCTGTCCCATAACAGGTGTTTATTAACTGCTGACTAAATAACTTACTAAATGAATGATGGTGCCATATTAGGACCAGGTAAAATCAATAATCACAGATTTGATCATTGAACTAACCAACCAGCCAGCCAGTCAGTCAGCCAGCCAGCCAGCCAGCCAGCCAGCCAGCCAGCCAGCCAGCCAACCAACCAGCCAGTCAGCCAGCCAGCCAATCAACCAGCCAGTCAGCCATCCAGCCAATCAACCAACCAACCAACCACTCACTCACTCACCCACCCACCCATGCACCCATCCAGCCAACCACCCACCCAACGTCTCCAGGCCTCCACAATCTCAGGCCCCCTGCTGGTTGGGGACCTGCATCTTTCTGGTTGATTTGTACACAGGCCCCTATCTCTGGAAAGATCTCCAGGTCTAGCTCTTCCACTCCTGGCTGGGAAGTGGAGCCTCTCCCCCGGCCCCTGACACCACACAGGGCAGGAACACCATTGTGGGTACCTGTGGCCATGGGCGGCTGAGTGGCTGAAGCAGTTCATATCCTCATGGAGGGAGGAGGCCATGCCATTGGCTTCGAGCATGCTGAGCAGGGGGTCAGCACCTCGGCTCAGCAACAAGCTGACCAGCTCATAGTTCCCTGAAAGACAAAGTGGGTGGGGCCAAGGGGAATGAGAGGTGGCTGACAGAGATGCTGAAAGGGAAGCAAGAGGGAGTTTCCAAACTCTGAAGGTTGGGACTAAATAAACCCCATGCTCATTTGCATTTTGGGGGGGTGAAGGAGGGGTGACCTCAGGAGGGAGCTGGGAGGAAGAAGGCTGGTTGTGTCCAGCCACTGTGGCCCCCTCCCCTTGGCCTCCAGAGAGAAGGCCCTTTCTGCTCTAGTCTCTCCCTTCTCTCTGTTTGGTCTTGTCTATGCACCAAGCTTGGCAGAAACATGGATGAATGGGGTGAGGGGAAGCCCCCTACTGGCCCAGGAGGAGAGGTTTCAAAGCTCCCTACAGGGGTCTGTGTATGCAGCCGATGTCCAGCTACAGGCTCAACCAATCCTGTAGCGGCAACAGTGGCAGCACCACAGGGAGGGGTCAGATAGAGCTTTATAGCAACTGGAGACCATTGGCGGGCAGGGCAGTGGTGTACCTACCAGCCGCGGAGGCTAGCTGCAGGGGTGTCTCTGCATAGCTGTCCTCCCCGCTGTTCACTGCTGAGCCCTCCACGTGGGCACCAGCATCCAGCAGCAACTGCCAGGGGCACAGAGGAAGAGGACACCACTCAGCATGGCAGGGGGCATCAGGGGAGAGGGCCTCTTGGTCTCTCCAAGCATGCAACCAACACAGGGCTCATCCAGAGAGCCGAGGAGCTGGGACCCTAGAACTCCACGTTACCTCCAGGGCTCAAAGCTTCTGGGATCTTCACCTCCACCCTTGTGGCCTTTGACCAGTCTCCTAAGCTGTGAGGACCACTGAGCTATTTCTCTCTTTCAAACGCTTTCCTATGAAATAGCTGCAATGGCTGTCTTAAGAACTGTCATTCCCAATCTACAGAGGGAAACTGAGGCTCTGGGAGGTAGCAGAGGTAATGGGGAAAGCATAGGCATCAGAGTCAGTGAGCTCTGGGTACAAATGTTGGCCACCAACCACTGAGTGACCGGGGGTAGGCCCCAGTCTTCCTCATCTGTAAAATGGGAAGAGAGGTCTGCCTTGCAATATCATTGGGTATTAAATGAAACAGGGCTTAACACACTGTAGGGGCTCAATAACAGTGGCTTTTAGGGTTCACTTTGGAGAGGTTCAGCAAGCTACCTAAGGCTTGGAAGTGCTGGGGCCAGGGCCAGAACCCTGCTGCACAGGACACCAGGTGACCTTTCTCCATTCCTGCAAGTACAGGCCTCTCCAGCGGACAGATGGGGCAGGGTTAACAGATACCAAGCAGTTCCAGCTGGACCAGGCCTGGCTTTGCCTTGGGGCGGGGGTGGTGTTTCCAATTAATCCAGCAGGTGACTTTCAGCTCCCATCTCACCTTTCCTGCCTGGCTGCTCTGGAAGGGAGAGGCTTCCACCCTTCTCAGGCTTCTGGAGACCAACCCTCCTCAGAGTCTGTGGCTGGCACTTTAGGGAAACCACTAGCCTGCCCCTCACCTGGAAACCAGGTGTGAGGAGTCCAGCTTGAGCAGACAGGGCTTGGGATCTCTCAGCCTCTGCTGCTGTTAGTTGTGGAGCAGGGGAGGGCAGCCATCTGCCTGGAGACTGCTGTCGGCCAGAGCCTAGTTCTGGCACTGCAGCCTGTGTCAGTGCTGAGGCAGGAGGCTGCCCATTGAGTGAAACTGGGCACCAGTCCAGACAAGCCCAGGGCACAGTCCTCCAGACTGCCTGGGTTGAGGCTGGAATTTTGCTCAGGTCCCGAACACTCAACCCTTGGTCGGACATTAATGGAAAAGCAGGTAGGATGTGGCAGCAAAGTGGGTAACCATCATTCACTGCGTCCCTACTATGTGCCAGGGCTGGGCTGACAGCCATGAATAAACCAGACATGGTCCCTTGCCCTCACAGAACTCATGATCTAGCGGACAGTAAAGGCGTTATATGAACTCCTAGGAAAGAGTGGCATGCAATCCTGTAGACCCCAGTGACCCTGAGGAGCAAGGGAACCTGGAGTCGAGTGGTGGCACAGCTGGTGGCCCTGCTGGTGTGGGAAACCACTCTGCCCACAGCTCCCACTTCCTGAGCCTGAACCACCCCCACCCCCCAGTCTCATGCCAGCCACAGCTACCTGGGCCAAGGTGGGCAACAATAACCCTGAGCTTGACAGGGTTCTCAGGAACTAGGAAATGGGGAGGCGGAAGGAATCAGAAGGATGCCATGATATAGGGCCAGCACTGTGGTGGAATTTATGAGGGAACAGAAAAAGCTGATGGGTCAGAAAGATTGTTATTGGTGAGGAAACTAAGCACACTCACAGAGATTCCAGCATGCTTGACACTAACTGAGATGCCAGGAGGGCGTGCAGGGAGGAGGCCTTGAGTGACCTGGGCCCTGTTTCCTGAAATTTCACATGTATCCTTACAGTAAATGCCTTTCCTGGAAGCAAACCAGATGGGTCTCTGTCCTGTTCACCAGGTGAGCCAGGCCTTAAGCATGGCCTCTTGTACCTCTGTTTTGAGGCAGCTGCTCACTCAGGTGAAGCAGAGGCTATACTTGGAGCCCAGCCCACCTGGCAGCTGGGGATAAGCTGCAGACCTGGCAGGAGCTCACCTGGACCACAGAGATGTGTCCATGAAGCACAGCAAATGTCAGCGAGGTCCAGTGCCGGCTGTCGGGGTGGACAGACGGGTGCCTGGGAGAGTTGCTTGGAACCTGGAAAATGCCACAAATTATCAGTGTATCCTGGTAACATTCCTGGAGGGATGATACAGGCACCTGAGCTGGGAGATCACCCTGCAGGGCTGGTGAATAGGATTCAACTTAAGTAGCCCTTATAATTGATTGGTAATGGCTGCCTGAAGCACTGCATGGAGAAAGCTCAAAAGGAGTAGATGTTCAACTGGTGATGTCTGCCCTCGGCAAGAGATGGCAGAGAGGAAGCCTCAGAGGGAGGCAAAGCTAGACTAAGTATTGGGGATGGTAGGGATGGCTGGGTATCAGGTTGGTAAAAAGGGAAAGGTGCTAAAGAAACAGAATTGTGGCCATTCTCCTACTCAGCTGAAGTCCAAATCTTGAGGAAAATCCACTTTGCTAACTGTGATCCCCGCACATCTTGTCTTTCCAGCCCTCTGAGACACATCTACCCAGTTGTCCAAATCATTGCATGGTTGATGGAGGCCTCAGGGTGTTCTCATGCTGGGCGAGGAGCTCAGGGGCAGCTCTTTGGGGCTGACTCACTTGGATGTCGAGGTTTGCTCCAGCATCAATTAGCATCTGGACCATCGCTTCATCCCCAGCGGCACAGGCATACATCAATGGCGTCATGCCCTGCATGAACCAAAGGCAGACACTCAATTGTCTGCGAACAGAACATGACGACATGTACTCCACAGGCCTCTACCCCAAAACCACAGATCTGAGCCTCCTGCTTGCCCTGGATACTCATCCTGAGCTCTCCTGGGCCTTGTGCTCGACCAGCCTGCCCTTCCTACGTCCACTGGACAAGGGACCCCCAAAGGGTAGCTCTGGGGACATTGCCACAAGCTCTGCAGGGCAGACAAGAGAGTGGTGCAGAGCACAGGCTCTGCTGCCAGACTCCAGGGCCAGTTCTGCCACTTTGTACAAGTTCCTTTACCTCTCTGTGCCTCAGTTTCTTCATCTTTAAATTCGGGACAACAGTATCTACCTCATAAAACCCCACTGCCTTCGGGTTAATTTTGATTCATAGCGACCCTACAGGATAGAGTAGTACCGCCCCATAGGGTTTCCAAGGCTGTAATCTTTACGGAAGGAGCCCTCGTGGCATATTGTTTAAGAGCTCGGCTGCTAACCAAAAGGTCAGCAGTTCAAACCCACCAGCTGCTCCGTGGGAGAAAAGATGTGGCAGTCTGCTTCCATAAAGACTTGGAAACCATATCGGGCAGTTCTACTCCACCCGATAGGGTCGCTATGGGTTGGAAGTGACTTGATGGCACACGACAACAACAACAATCTTTATGGAAGCAGACTGCCACATCTTTCTCCCACAGAGTGGCTGGCGGGTTCACAGCGCCAACCTTTCGGTTAGCAGCTGAACACTTAACCACTGTGCCATCAGGGCTCCTGTCTACATCATCGGGTTGTTGAAAAGATTCTGAGTTAATACGCATAAAGTACTTAATACAGAGTAAGCTTATCTCAATTAAGAGCTAGATAATTGAAATAACAACAACATGAACGATATTATTGCTACTACGTTATACTGCCACATCCCCAGGCCCTGCACTGTGTTCAGTGATTATGTACATGCATTATCTCCTTCAGTCACCACAACATCCCTATTAAGGAGGCTCTATTATTATCCCCCTACCACCCATTGGTCAGTTTGTCGTACTGTGGTGGCTTGCATGTTGCTGTGATGCTGAAGGCTATGCCATTAGTATTTCAAATACCAGCAGGGTCATCCATGGTGGACAGGTTTCAGTAAAGTTTCCAGACTAAGACAGACTAGGAGGAAAGGCCTGGTGATCTGCTTCTGAAAATTAGCCATTGAAAACCTTACAAAAGGAGGGTGAGAATGGTTGCACAACTCGAAGAATGCAATCAATGCCATTGAATTTTACATGAGAAACTGTTGGATTGGATGTATGTTCTGCTGTGTATATTCTCAACAACAACAAAAGTAAAATACATTATAAAAAAGAAAGGAAAAGCTTATGGGTCACAACAGAACACTGTCTGACTCACTTGCTTTGGACACAATCAGGAGGGATCAATTGCTAGGGGAATTCATGTTTGGTGAAGTAGAGGGCCAGTGAGGGCGAGGGAGACCCTCGGTGAGGCAGCAACAATGGACTTGAACATTCTGCGATTGTGAGGATGACACAGGTCCAGGCAGTGTTTTGTTCTGTTGTACATGAGTTCTCCGTGAGTTAGAGCTGGCTCGACGGCAGCTAGCAACATTATCATCTCCATTTTACAGAGGAGGATCAGAGAGGCGAATTAACTTGCCCAAGCTCAACCAGCTAGCAAGGGTTGGAATGAAGGCTGGAACCATATCTACCTGACTTGTGAAGCCTAGGCTTTAAGAAGTCTTTGACTTTAACATCTTGTGCTACTGAGCAGCTCAGAACTCCTCCAAGAGCTTAGGCCTCATCACTCTGAGTTAGGTGGGAGGTTAATGGGGCTGTCTTCCTGGCCGAGGATGATTCTCTGTGGCCAGTAATAGCAAAGGCAGCAGTGGAAAGCGTTATCCACAGCTGGAGCCCGCACGCAGCTGTCTGGAGCCCTGCGATGATATTTATTAAGTTATTTGTGTGTAGACAAGATCTCCTTACCTCATAAATCCTTGCCTCGTGCCCAGAGATAAAGAAATGGCCTGAGATTAATCATGGGTTGAGAGGACTATTTACCCACAGATCGTTCTATAAATACCAAGGCTTAGGGAACAAACAGGATAGAATATTTAGAGAAAAGCCAACTGCAAGAGAGTGAAAACTTGGCTCAGCTTTATCCCTCTCTGCACATACTTGACTTGTGTTTTCTCCACACATCTGTACACAATTGGAGTTTAAAATAGGCTGTTAAGTCCTGTCAGGAGAAACTACATTTTTGTGTTGTCCCATGCCCACCTGAGACACATAAAACCAAAACAAAACCAAACCCACTGCCATCGAGTCAATGCTGACTCATAGCGACTGTATAGGACAGAGTAGAACTGCCCCGTAGAGTTTCTCAGGAGCACCTGGTGGATTCGAACTGCTGACCTTTTGGTTAGCAGCTGTAGCACTTACCCACTGCGCCACCAGGGTCTGAGACACATAAGGAGGCTAAATAAAAAGAGGCCAATCGACAGATTTCAGGAATAGTAATCATCGTCACGTTGTTGTTACTAGGTGCTGTCGAGTCGACTCTTAGCAAAGCCATGTGACAGACTAGAACTGTCCCATAGGGTTTTCTAGGCTGTCATCTTTACAGGAGCAGACTGTCAGGTCTTTTCTCCCATGGAGCTGCTGGTGGGTTTGAACTGCCGATCTTTTGGTTTGCCGCTGACCGCTTAACCATTGCACTACCAGAGCTCCTGATAATCATCATATTGACAACAAAAATCAGAATTAATATTTCTTGAACATTTGCTTGTGCAAGATGCAAAATTCTCACAATACCCCGATGTGGCAGGTACTATCATCCCCAGTTCTAGAGGTGAGGAGCCTGAGGCTCAGGGAGGTAGAATAACTTGCTCAAGATGCCACGTTACCTCGTGGTGGACAAAAACCTCAGTCTGTTGAAGTGAAAGTCTACGGGCTTCCCCACTGCTCTGCTGAAGGGGACGAAGACCCCACCAGGATGAGCGCTACTGCAAGGTCCTCAAGCCTACACCGACAGAGGCCTCTAGAGGCTACCTGCCTGCCCGCCCCATCTCTGCTGCCCTGTGAAAGCCCCCCTTTAGCCCATGGTCTCCCCCTTCCCAGTCCCAGCATATCCCTGACTGCTCCACCCCCATGCTCTTGCCCCCATCATCCCGTTTCCCTGGAAAGCCTTCCCCATCCCCAGTCCTGCCCACTTGGCTTGGCTCAAACTCCCTCAATAGGGAGCCTTCCTGGCTAGTCCTGCCCTTGCTGGTCAGAGTCTGCCCTGGCCACGTGGTTCGCTGACACCTCATCACACCCTGCACTGTGCTGTCATCTCATCTGAAAGCATTATTTAACCCTTCGACTGTCATTTAACTTTCCCCATGCTTCTCTGTGGGAGGACACTACTCCTATGTATACAGTAAGTGCTCCAAAATAGTGTCAAACATATTTTGGAATATTCCTTAGTAGTTAAAAGCCTGGAGTCAGATTGTTTGGATTCTTCTAATTCCAGCTTTGCCTCTTATTAGCTGTGTGGCTTTAGGTAAGTCACAACCTCTCTGTACCTCAGTTTCCTCATCTATAAAATGGGGAGGATAATAGTATCTATATCATACGGCTGCTGTCAGGATTAATTGAATTAATTCATGTGAAGTACTTAGCACAGTGCCTGGAACACTGAAGTACTTAGAAACAATGCCTGGAACACAGTAAGTGCTACATAAATGTTAGCTATTCACGGCAAAAATAACACAACCAAAACAAACAAAAAACCCAAGTGAAATTCTACCAAAAATTGCAAACCACCTCCAACACCTCCTATACTCCTTTCCACTTTTCACTAACATGCTCTATGTGTTACGTGTTTACGTTTCTTATTATTTGTCTCCCCCTCCTCCTTAAAATGTCAGCTCCATGAAGGCAGGGGTTTCTATGGGCACTGCTCACTGCTGGATCCCACAGCCTAGCACAGTGCCTGGCACACAGTAGCAGGCAGTCTGTTCTAATGCAAGTGTCAGCGATGATTATCCATAGCAGTTTTCAAGCTGACTCTTGGTTTATTCCCAGCCCTGTACCACCCAGAGCAGTCTCCAGCCTCCCAGCAGGGGAAGCCAAATCCCTGTGACAAAGGTTTTCTGCGGGAGTCTAGGAAACTCTCTAAAACATTCCACCTAAAACAGGCAGGGGGTGATCAGATGGTAGCCCATCTGCTAAAAGCACAGAGCTGAGCAAGTCTTAAGTTTAGGACACAAGAGGCTCTGCCACCAACTTTGGCAACTGTAAACTCCCATCTCTGGTCCCTAAGCCTGGCCTCGAGGGGCTCTCAGCACCTACCTGGTCATCCATGGTGTTCACCCCATCTGGTCCCAGGGCCTCAATAGCCTGGTTGATGAGGTCTGTCCTCCCACAGTTGAGCATGCGGAAACCCAGATCCTGGTTGAACTTTTCAGTAGCTGCTCTGGCGTCCAGCCTCCGGAAGGAACGGAAACAGCACTCAGGCCTGCCCGGAAGAGACACAGAGGTGTGTGAGCATGACTGAGTGAGTATGGACCCTGTCGGCTAGGACACTGTCCCTCAATAAGACGGAATGTGCTGTGCTGGGCTGGATGTGTGGAGTGAGGATGGGGTGGGCAGGGAGGACTGTGAACTACTATCAGGTCAGCAGTGATTGGCCTCATCATGTTCTGTGCCTCAGCTGGGAACATCTGGGAGCAAGAGCACATGCTCTTCTTTTCTATACACATAAAAACATAGAGAAGTGCTCTGAGCTCTTTCGAGCTGTACACTGTTAAGAAACAAGGTCTTATCTAAAATAATCTACGAGTGACTACTCTGAGGAGGAAGAAGGGCCAGGTTTTTGCCACAGTGGTGGTTGTATACTTTTTGCACGGAGAAGACTGCACCTCAATCTATAAAACGGTCCTGTGGCTAAGTTCTAGCATTTGGTTCTATGTTCTCCTCTCCTCAGGGCTTCCTGGTAATGCTCAGAAGTACTAAAGAGACGGTACAGAATGGCCCTGAATCCCATTTGTGAGAAGCCCAACCTCCCAGATAAAACCTGCATCTATAGAGGGTATGCCACAAGTTTCTAATAGGCAGCTTCAGCCTTCCAATACTTTGTTGGGCCAAAGTATAGAAAGTTCACATCCTAGAACAAGGTTCAGGCTGTGTGCCATGGAGACAGAGGAGGTCATAACTGAGGTTTGGGGAAATGGTCAAAAGGAAGATGCAAGGCTGTCACAGGCCAAGGGTGGCCAGAGGGAACCATCTCTGGGAGAACTCCTGCAGGATACTACTCTAATACAAGGGAGGCAGTTTGGAAAAGAAATTAAGAGCACAGACTTAGAGGCTGTGTTCAGACCTGAGTTCAAATTTTGGCTTGGCCACTTTGCTAGCTAAGTATTTGTGGGCAACTTACTGTTCCTCTCTGACCATCAGTTTCTTCATCTATACTATGGGGATTATAGTCCTTCTTCTCAAAAGTTGTCATGAGGACTAAGATAATGCATGTAAACAGGAAGGCACAGTACAGTGCCTGCACCTAGTAAGTGTTCAAGAAAATAGTGGCAATTACAGGAAGAGAGGAAAGAGAGGGTCGATACCCTCCCCTCATCCCCCAAATATCCCCAAGACTCAGACTATTGAGCTCTTCTGCCCAAATCCAAACATGTGTCTGCTCTGCATGTCAAGGTCCAAAACAGATCAGCTCCAATACTTAGGCTTGGCATTTGCAGAGGACATCCTTAGAGCAGCTCAAATGGATTGGGACCCTGCTCTCTGATCCCCTCCCAACCTCCAAGAGAAGGGAGCAGAGGGGTCGCCAGGGCTGACATGGAAGCCGGCCCTCCCTCCCATTCCTCCCCAGGGCCATACTTGAGCTGCCGGGGCTCGCAGTCCAGGCCGGGCAGCAGCAGCCGGGCTGCCTGTCGGATGTCGCCACTGTCCACGGTGAGGCTGCGGCGGTGTTCTGCATACGTGATGGCCACGCGCATCCACTCCATCAGCGGGGGCAGCAGCATGAAGGGTCTGCGAGAGGCAGAGGACGGTTAGGATCTCTCGGGAGGGTGGCAGGAAACCCCCTTCAGGACAAGCGCTCTGAGAGAATGGTCATGTGGGCTCATCACCCTGTAAGAGGGCCTCCCACCCTCACTCAGTCTGTGAGGTGTGGAGGAAATCAGATTCTTTTCCTCACACATACCTCAATTTCTCTCCCATTACACAGAAACCCTGTCATGGGCCAGGTCAAGATCACAGCCTGAGGGCCCATGAAAGTTGGCCAATGAAAGAAGAGGTTTGCTAACTTGTGGAACTGAGGACTCCTGCCCCCTCTTGGCAGAGGGGAGAGATTGCTTTCTGGGTAGTAGGGTGCAGAGGAAAGAGTCTAACAGACCCAGGCTCCAAACCCGGCTTTGCCACCAGCAGCTGCAGTACTTCGTCACCACACACAAATACATCCCAAATCTCCATATTCTGCATCTGTAACATGGGGTAACACCTATTTCTCAGAACTGTGGTAAGGCTAAGTGAGACAATGCATATCACACTATACATGCATAACTGGTAGTCATTTCTTCCTCAACTGGAACGTGGGCTGAGGTGAGCTCTATGTCACTCCTGTGCAAGGCTACAGTTGCCCACAGCTTGGTGCAGGTTCCAAGTCTTCCTGGGAAGAACAGTCCTAGGGGGCCTGTGTAACAGCCAAGAACTCACAGCCGCGGTGTAGGGCAGCTAGGCGCCGGGCAGCTGCACAGAAGCAGGGAGAGGCAGTTCAGCAAGGCCTCTGAGTTGCAAACTTCAAGGGGCACCTTTCACAATGTATTCTATGTGCCACCAGGGGGCGCCATACACACGGAATGTGACTAGTGCCCCCTAGTGTTGTGCAACAGAGAGGATACTGCCACTCAGGCCTGCACTCAGCCCACTCACCAGGCCCTTCCTCCCTCCACCCAGCTCTTTCTTTCATCCAGGGAGATGGGGTCTGCCCACCATTGAGGGCAGGTTTCCTCTTGTCCTCTGCCAGTTCTGCAAGTCTTCCGTGGTGAAGCCCTTGGGAGACCATTTCACAGTCCAACAGAGCTTGCTGCTGTGGTGGCACCCCCAACAGCCAGTCAGTCTTAGGCTTCATGACTCAGTGGAAACCCAGCCTGCTCTGCCCAGAAGAGATGGAGCTTTTACCGCACCCTGCTGCAGGATGAGGCAGCCCTGGCACCTGCCCCTCACGCCGGCTGCTCTCTGACGACAGCCTCCCAGCTCCTGCCTGTGCTTGCCAGTCCCTCCTGATGCCTGCCACCTCCATCCTTACTTTTAATCTGAGCCAGGGGTAGGCAACAGGCCAGGCTGCCAGGCCTCCACTCCCTTTGATACCCTGGGCTCCTTGAGCTTCAGGCCCCTGCTGCCACTGCCATCTTTTTCCTAGACATGCAGAGTGGAACTGTGACCAGGAATAAGACCTCCAGTCTCTCCTCAGCTACTAAGAGAATCGACTACAGGGGATCAGCTAGAGTCTGCCCCTCAGATCACTTATCTCGGGTCTCCAAAAGCTTAGGTCATCTTCAAAGTTTTAGACACTTCTCTTCTGAGGGCAAAGGATGCTTTTGGAAAAAAACAAAACAGTGTGATCTTGAGGCGGTTCATTTGGAAAGTTATTTTGATGTTTTGGTTCTGTTATTTCAGAAAATATACCTGGGTCTGAGTTACTTAACTGGTTCACTGAATGTACTAACTGGTGTGAGGAGGGCCCCAGGCAAGTAAAGCCTTTCTAGCCCTGGTCATGAAGGATGTATGCCCCCACCTGCTCTCCAGCCCGGTCTCATCCCTTTCATCAGCCCAACAGGCACTCACAGTTCTCAAGCCTTCCCTGCCCATTTGCACCTCTTCATGAAAATGAACCAACTCTCACCTCTGCCTGTCCACATCCTATTCATCTTTAAGGCTCAGTTCCAATGCCACCTTTTTCCAGAAATCTTTCCAGTCCCCCACTCCTTCTCCTCCCCCCACCCCAAATCTATTTCTGCTCCGAGATCCCTGAGAACTCTCTCTTCCAGCAATGCGTCTCATCTTCTTGATTAGACTATTCCTCCTTAGGGCAAGAACAACGTCTTCCTCATCTCTGTAGTCTCCAAAACATGCTCATCATGGGATTGAGACACAACAGATTCTCAGTAAACATTTGCTGAATGAAAGTATGTATGAGCATTAGTAACTTAACAGAAAACATCCAAGTTTTCAGTTATGGACCAAGTCATGAATCTGCCCAGAAAAGAATGGTGTGTAATTTCCAAGGGCGTAATGTTGACTCAAGTGGCCCTGGTGGCACAATGGTTAAAATGCTTAGTCGCTAACTGAAAGGTTCAAACTCACTCAGTGTTTCCGAGGGAGAAAAGATCTGGTGATCTGCTCCCATAAAACTTCCAGCCTAGGAAATCCTATGGGGCAGTCCTACTCTGTCATACAGGGTCATTATGAGTTGGAATCAGCTTGATGGCACACAACAACAACAAATGTTGACTCATTAGAGTGGGAAGTTGGGACTCTATGGGGGCAACTTGTCTAGTCTAGGAAGGAACAGCAATTCATTCATGAATTATCTCTTTGTTTATAAGCTCTCCCTTGATTTTAAATGGCCATTTGAATTTCCCCCAAATATGTTAGAATTTTATAATAATTAAAATTACAAGGCTGGAAGGCAAAGTCAGAGACACACTTCTGTATATCAGTCCTTCTGATCTAAGGAGGAATGCTTTAAACTGTCAGAGTTGGAGACTGAAGTGTAAGCAAAAAGATGATTCATGAGTTTGTCAGCCATTCTTCTTGAGTGTGGCCAACAGCCAAGACAAACCGCCAAGCGTGGCTATCAAAACTCTAAGCAGGCATCTCCCAGCTGTACTAGGGAAATCCAAGAGAGAACTCGGGAAATCATGAAGTCTAATCGGGTGGTGTCTTGATTTATTCTCCCGCCTTCGTGCCTCTTAGAACTCAGCACATGAAAAAACGCAGTATTGATAACCTCAATAGATGGATAATAAGATGGGCTTGATCAGCCTCCATTTTACTGCCTCAGTTGGAGATGTGGAAAATTGAAAACTACACTTCCCAGATGCCTTTGCAGTTACGGTTCTGGATGCAAATCACTTTCAACATTAAGATGCAGGTGCAGAAGATCCGAGATCTGGTAGATGGATGTGAGGCAGAGGCTACCTTTGTGCCCCTTTTGTCTGTTTCTGCTGGTAAGCCAGGTCATGAAAGCATGAGCTTTGGGTTTGTTTGTTTTTTTTCCTATAGAGCAGTCCAGTGTCCATTTCCACTTTCCTGGGGGCTTTATAGCCAGCTATAGTGTGGTGAAAGCAAGAGCAAAGATTTCTTGAATCCAGCGTCAAACCTGAACTGCAGCTCCAGGGGTGTGTGCTCAAACCCTCAGCTCCAGGAGCTGCCTCAGAGGTAGCAGGTCCCCTGATGGACTATTTCTGTATTGTTCTTGGGGTCATTCCTGGAGGCTAAGCCTAGAGCCTGCTCCTTGAGTCCTTCCAATGATTTTTTTTAGCACCTAATTCCCTGCATCAAATCCCTTCGTGCTTAAAATACCTTTTGCCTCTGGGGATGGTGGCTGGTGCCCACCAGTCTACAAATAAGGCTGTGCCAGCCTGAAACTGAGCTCTTCAGGCCTTTCTCCTTAGCCTACCCACCTCTCTGGCCTGTGGTCCTTAGGCAAGTAAGATGGGCAGAGAGTATAAGGAAGTCAGGAAGGCTGCTAAGCAATTCATGGACTTTCTCATTAACATCCTTCCCAAGGGCTGTGGGTCCCAGGCTACTGTTTCCTTTCTGATAATATCATCTAGCCCACTGGGCGTGCTGAGAAGAGCTGGCCCACATTACTGGACTTTCTGGAAAATCCCTATAAAAACTCCCACTTCAATGGCCATGGCTGTGTCACAGCTCTAGGTTGAAAGTGTCCCAGAGGAGAATGCTGGGAATGACTGATGTTTGCTTGGGCCCCAAGGTCTCTTTGCTTTGTTCCCTCCAGAAGGAAAATGCTGTTTCCCTCTTTTTGCCTTTCTCCAAGGCTGGGCTTGGCTGCATGTCTTTTGATATCAGAATGGAGATGTCTGCAGTGCCAGAACTGGGGAGAGTGGGTCAGGGCTGAAGAAACCTCTTTTGTTCAGCCCTTCTGCCCTCTGAGTTTTCCCTTTGCTAGCTCTGATTGATACCTTAGAATAGTGGGTCTCAAATGTTTTGGTCTCAGGACCCCCATTACACTCTGAACAATCATCGAGGACCTCAAAGAGCTTTTGTTTAAGTGTGTTATATCTGTCGATATCTACTGTATCAGAAAGTAAAACTGAGGAAATGCTAAAGCACATGAGAACACAAGCTCACACTCCATCAGCCACCAGAGCGACAACATCATCGCATTTCACGCAGCCTCCGGAAAATGCCGCTGGGTCTTTGTGAGAAAATGACAGTGAAAAGGCAAATAACCTCTCAATATTATGAAAATTGTTTTGACCCTGTGGACTCCTTGGAAGAGCCTCTGGGACCCCAGGAGTCCCCCTGACCAGACTCTGGGAACCACTGCCTTAGAAGAACGTAGCAGATCCCTTTGGAGTTTCTGGTGTGGTACAAATGGTTAAAGTGCTCCGCTGCTAATTGAAAGGTTGAAGGTTCAAGTTCACCTAGAGGTGCCTTTGAAGAAAGGCCTGGTGATCTACTTCTGAAAAACTAGCCATTGGAAAAACCCAATGGAGCACAACTCTACTCTGACAGACATGGGGTCACCATGAACTGACTCAATGGCAACTGGAAGCAGATCCCTAAGACAGTAGGTGCAGGGCTGATTCTGCCCCCAGGTACACTGGGTCTGGTGAATCCTAGAGTGTCGTATCGCTGGCATTCACCTATCCCACTCAGGGATGTGAGGATCCTAGACACCTTCCTGGGAGAAAGTTCTAGTTTCCTCAAAGCAACTGAACTGGCTCTGTAACTTCGGGCAGATTGCTTACATTTGTAGTTTCAAAACTTGTTCTAGTGTG